ATGATTGCTGAGAGCATCCATGTGCTGAGCAAGGCTGGTCAGGTACACCATGAACAACATTATTTTTGTTGTTTTGTCATTTTCAGTGATTGACTTGCGTGCAGATGATGTACCCACCAGTTGCACGACACGCGCACGACCAACGGACACGCGCACGACCAACGGACGCGCACGCGCACATGCACACGCACGACCAACGACACGCAGGGCAAGGTGGTGGTGGCGGGGCTGACAGGAGGCGAAATGGACAGCTTCCTGCAGGTCGCCGAGCTCCTGTTCAAGGAGCGGGTGAGCGATCCGCAGGAGCGCGAGTGCTGGCAAATCCACGTCGATATCGTCCGCCTCCTGCAGCAGGAAAGCTTCGACGCCAACGACCTCGAGAAGCTCGAGAAGCTGACCAAGAGATGGAAACATCTCATGGTCAAGTTCTACGGCGGCGTTGCCGAGCGGCAGCGAGCGACGAGCTCGAAAGAAGACGCGGTCGAAGAAGCGGTCGAAGAAGCGGTCGCGGACGGCCGAGACGGCGGCCAGCGACACGACGACGAGCGGAGAGAAGCCACTCAGCTTCAAATTTCCGAACTTCAAGGTCGCGCAACACTGGCCGGAGTTGATTCGCTTCCTCGGGCCCCCATGGGTGCAGGACACGCGCCTGTGGGAGCAGCGGCACCTCGCGGCGAAGATGACCGCGCATAGGACGAACCAGATCAACACCGAACGTGCAATTCTTGTGAAGGTACGGCTTTGTTGCATGTTTTTTAACGTTTGCTAACCTCTGGTTTTGTTGTTAAGACGCACCAAAAGGACGCCGTCATTCGCCACCGAGCATACGCTGGGCTGCCCCGCGTGAGCTCTGTGGATGGGTCCTGGAAGGAACCCTACACGCTCAGCGTTCGTGGCACAACAACCAGCATCACGAGGGACCGCAGGCGCAACCTCTTCGACGCAGTCAGCCGTGAGCTGGGCGAGGGCGTCCAGATAGCGGACGACATCACCTCGCACAAGTCGGCCCACTACTACGGCCACTTCCTGCGACCAGGCGATGGGATCGCCTTGCGTGTTCCCGAAGACTATCCAAACGTACGATAGTGTGCTAGTGTTGTGTTTTGCTTCTCATTACTAATTCTTTATTTAATTGTAGATACGGTTCATCATCGACAACTCACGACACGCCATCCTCGACGAGTCCGAGACGCAGTGTGTCGTGATCGGAAGGATATCTCGTCTGCTTCGCATTGCCTGCGACAACGTGGTGAAGGCGTGGGTCGAGCTCGAGCTTGGCGATCTGCGCGGCGTCAGCGATGGCTTTCTCGAGTTCCGGCTCAGCCAGCGACGGTTCTACCTTCCCTTTGGGTGGAATGGATGGACCGTCGCCAAGCGCGTCCACCTCGTGCAACAACATGCGGGCTTGCTCTATAACCATCGCGTTAGGTGGCACCTGGGCGACAGGTGGGCCACACCGGCGAGCGGCGCACGACCAGCGGCGTGGAGCACGACCAGCGCGATCGGCGGCGCGGAGCACGACCAGCACGACGACTAGCGCCACCAGCACGACGACCAGCGGCGCGGAGCACGACCAGCGCGACCAGCGGCGCGGAGCACAACCAGCACGACGACTAGCAAGGTGGACAGGAGGTGGACAGGAGGTGGACAGGAGGTGGACAGGTGAAGATGGAATTGTCCACCTTTTTCAATACAACCATTCGACCTACTCAAGGTGGAAAAAGGTGACCTCAATGTGCTGGCTTTTGGTGGTTTTTCCCGTCTTGTGAAAGGTGGAAAACAGCTATCTTTTTCCCACCTACCGTCCCGGCAGTGGGCTGCCTACGTAGTTGTTGGGGCGCGATGCCTGCCTGGTGCGTGTTGTGTCGGCTGGATGTTGCATGGGCGAGATGCTCGCGTGCTGGATGCCGCGTCATGTTGCACGTTGTTGTTTGGGCGTGAGCTCGCCTGCGACTGCCTGCCGCCTGCTGCTGCCTGTCACCTGCTGCTGCTGCCTGCCACATGTTGGATGTTGTTGGGGGTGTGATGCTCGCCTGCCGCATCAGGCTGCCGCCACTGTGCGGCGGTGCCGGTATGGGGAGCCGCGGCCAGTGGTGGCAAGCCTGGCAGAGTTTGTCAGCCAACATTGGTAAGGTGGCGGCGGCACAGCAACAGCCAAAAGTAGAGCAAAGGGTCCGCCTTCCGGGTCCCAAGGTGGAGCTTTGCGTTGTTGTTGTTGTTGCGGCCAAGAAAGCAGCCATCTCAAAGTGACGGGGCGGGGGTGTGGGCGTCGTGTTGGATACTCTTCGTCTCTCTCTCTCTCTCTTTTTCTCTATCTTTCTTTATGTTTACCTTTCTTTTCTTTATTCCCTCTTATTTCCTCTGACTTCACACTTGTACCGTTTCAGATCTCCTCAATACATTACCTTTTTCCTTTCAGACATCTTCACGTCTCTTTAGCTTCTCAGCTTCTCGTCTTCTTCACCTCCAACACGTCGAGGCGCTGGCAGGGTACCCACCAAAGCCACGTCCTCCCAACCCACTGCATGGCGCAACACGCTTGGCCACTGGCCATACTCACCCTCAATAAATACATCACCAATACACACTAAACACTTTGTCTTTGTCTCCAACCTCTCTACAATAAATACACACTTACACATAACCTGCACACTACTCACAATAGGTTATGGGCCCACACTCTAACCTCTGTTCTCAGCATGCAAATAGAGGATGTGCCTGGAGAGCCTGGAGTGTTTCTTGTTGAGATGTTGGAAAAGTGTGGTGATGATGAGGTTGGAGTCCTTTGGCCATGCACACTGTGATGGAAAGCACATTGAGAAGGTAAGGTGTCATCACACACAAGATGCCTGGCTCACCCCAGAGCAAGGTGACCTTCTTTGTCACCAAGAGCAAGAGTGGCCATTTTGTCTTCACCATCCTCAGCACCTCTTACACCATCATCAACACTTGAAACTGAGCTCAGCTTTCATGTATCTCTTGTAATCCTACATCACACATAGTGAGACACCTTTTCCATCCATATATCTTGATCTGAGAAAAACTGAGATCAAGATATCTGGAACTGATGGCAGTTTTTCTGTACCAGCGTGAAATGAAAAGAAACGACAGGAAAAAGAGGTTTTCTTGTTGCGACGTCGCCAAGCCAATCTATTCCCCCCCCCAACAAAAAGGCTGGTGCTCTGTGACGGCGATCGCAAGAAGAACGCTGCGTGTAGTTGGGGCAGCTTGAGTTGCGCCACACACACATAAAATGAACAAAAAGCAGTTGGATGAGAAGCACCAAAAAATCCTCAGGAAATTGCTGACGCTCCCCGAGAACAAGAAATGCTTCGACTGCTCTGAGAAGGTACCCTCCCTTGCTGCGCTTCCCTCTCTTGCCCCTTGTGACATTCTCTCTTTTGGCATCACACTTTTTATTTTATTATATTCATTTTTTTTCAACTCTCAAAGGGACCCTTCTACGCTTGCACGACTCTCGGCACGTTTGTTTGTACCACTTGCTCTGGTATTCAGTACGTACTCTGATACCTTGTATATCTCGATTCCCCTTCAGCCTCTCCAGCAGTTGTCAGTTGTGGCTTCCTTGCCGATCTTCTCCCTAGATTTGATTTTTGATAATTTTTTTTTCTGGTTGCCCCTGTGGGCAGTCTGCTGACCTCCTCTCTGGTCCGCACACATAACACAGTCGCGAGTTCCAGCACCATGTCAAATCCATCTCCATGGCTTCGTTCAAGCCTGAGGAGGTCCAGTTCCTCGAGGAGATGGGCAACGGCGTATGTTTCAGTCCCGAGCTTCACTATTGCTGCATGCGTGCTCGCTAACCAAGTGGCGGCCTGTGCCACATATCATAGCGCGCGAAGGAGATCTGGTTGGCTTACTGGACCCCGAGCGACTATCCTGAGCCCGAATCCACCGACAGGGCGCGCGTGCGCGAATTCATGAAGCTCAAATACGAGAGGAAGAAGTGGCACGTCCTCCGCTCCTCGCTCACCGCACACACGTTTGTCCGCTGCTGGCACACGTCACGTGTACTCTCTCTCTCTCTCTCTAACCCGTCGCCAACAGGTTCGCGAGGCCTGGTGCTGCCAGAGGTAATAACAACGGCGCACGCAGTGAAAAGCAATCACGCAGCAAGAAGAGGGTACGCTCGGCCGCCTCTTTACTTGCATTTTTTTTTTATTATTTTTTTACAATTAAGCCGCGCCACGCAGGATGAGGAACCGCCGAGGGTGGAGCCCATTGAGTCAATTTTGGGGAGGGACATTCCCCCTATCTCCATCACTCACAACATCAACCTCCCGCTGGGCAACAACGGTAAACGACTCCCTCTTTTCTTGGACAACCAACAACTTTCACCCAATGCATACAGCTGCACGTTTCTAATCTTGCACGTCGATTCACTCACCGTGATAGGCTCGGCGCCCAGACGAGAGGAGCCACGCGTAGTTCAACCCACCAAATCTAAGGTACCACACCACAGTGAATAAGTGTCAGCTGCTGGCTTCTCGTGCGCGCTTGCTTACAGCGCATTTCTGGATTAGGACCCCTTCTTGGTATCTTGGGGTGAGGAACCAATCCACCCCGTCCCCGCTGCGCACACCCGCTCGCCGCAGCTTCCGCCGCAGCAGTTCCCCCCACCCGCCACTGGTGGCCATGCCCCTCCGTCAGGTATCAACTGTGCTTTCGGTCTTGTATTTTGTGCTGTGCGTGTGTTAACCACTTGGTTGTACCGACAGGCGGTATTAGCGGCCTAGAGTCGGTTTTCACACACCCGGAGCCCACCAAAAACCCCATGGGCTCCACCGTTTGGCCGCCGCCTGCCGGAGGCGTCGCTCCCGCTCCTCACATGGGAGGTGGCCCTGGTACGCCCTAATCCTCCCTTTCCGTCCGTCGCTGGTGCGACTCGTCGGTTTTGTGGCCGCCGCTTCTGAAGCCTCTCAGTGTCAGGTGTGCCAGGGATGATGCCTGCTGGCGGCATGGGCGCTTTCCCTCAGGGTGGTGCTGTTCCTTTCCAGCAAGTCAGCCCGCAGGGTAAGCTCACCCGCACGCCGTTAAGGCTGAGCTAGCACGCAAGGTTGACGTCTATTGCGCTCAAACATCTCAACTCATTCTCTCCTTCATCTTTGCCTCAGTCTTCCAGCAGATGGCGCCACAGCAGCAACAACAGTACTTGGTGATGCAGCAGCAGTGGATCCAGCAGCAGCAGTTCCTGCTTCAACAGAGGATGGCCGGCATGACCCTCGGCGGCGCTCCTCCCGCAGGTGCGGGCATGATGATGCCCCCTCATATAGGGCCTGGTGCCGGCGCACCCGGTATGGTGGCGGCCTACCCGGGAGCCCCTGTCATGCACCCGGGCATGGGGGGCAGTATGCCACCAGCTGCAGCCATGGGCCACAACCCCTTCCTTGCAGGACCCGCGTCAGGCCCCACCAGTGGAGGTGCGTTCTCCTCGATTGCAATCAGGTGGATAGAACCGCCACAGCAATGATGCTGACGTCATCGCGCGCCCACCAGGCGTGCTCGCTCCCGCACCCTACGGCTCCAGCGGACCTGGCGGGGCTCCTGCCGCCCACGCGAAGCAGAACGACGCTTGTACGGCTTCTCCCCTCCGACTCTGCCTTACTCTTCTTTTCGAGGCTCTGATATGCGCGTGCTGATGGCTATGACCTTTCGGGTCTCGATAGTGTTTGCCGACCTCTCGCCGCTTTCTGCATCCAAGCCTGCTGGCTCTTCCTCTGCCCCAGCGCCGTCAGGTTCGTTGTCAGTCGTTCGTTCTTGTGCAGCCCGTCCCAATCGGGTGATTGATCCGTGTCTTGCTCTCTGTAGCGCCTGTGAGCAGGGGACCAGGGATCGGCATGGCCGCCTCGTCGCCGTCGCCGAGCCATTCGCCATTCTTCCCGACCGCAACCGGACCCACGCCGTTGTCTCCGGCTCTGTCTCCCGCCATGGCCCCGAATCCTTTCGCCTCTTCGGCTCCGGCTTACTCCTCGGGCGGATTTCCGTCCCCGCCTGCCGCCGGCAGCAACGGCACCAACGCGGGCTTCAACCCCTTCGGCAGCCTCATCTGAGCGCGGCCGTACGCGCCCCAACCCCTGACAAGGGCTCGACAACGGCCACCGCTACGCTTCATTTTCCCTCTTCTCTTTCTGTTGTGACCTTACTACTACTAAAGCTTGGCTGTGCTCTAGTTCTTGTTCTTAGGCCTTTTGCGTTCCTCTTTGCTTTTGGGGCGTGCTGCTGCTGCTTGACCGATTGGGCTGGGCCACCCTGGCCTTGAACGAGTGCAAGGGGAGCGGCTCGGGCACTGTCACTGTCGTCGCGGTGCCGTCTGCCTGTGCGCTTCCCGCCTGTACACGTCCGATGATTAGATAGCTAGCGCCACCAAGCACGGACAGACCTAGCCAACAACAGCAGCCGGAAGGAAGTGTAGTGAGCGCGCACCTGCCCACTGGTGGCGGTCTTGCAGGGAAGTAGCCAGGGGATGTTGAGTGGGACAGCCTGCGACTTGAGGAACGCAACCAAATCGCCGTGCGGGTGTTCGGTGCCCCTCTGTACAAGCCCACGCCCCACGGAAGCAGACCCGTAAATCAGTACACCAGGACATAGCCACGAAGGGAAGAGCTGACCTTGAAGCCAATGGCCATGACCGTGCGAATCCCAAATATGGCGCCCAGCCGCAGACTCAGGTCGCCGCTCAGGGGCACCAGAGGCACGCCCGTGAGAAACGCCTGCACGGGGATGTGCTGCACGAGACGCGCCGGTTCAACGTCCTGCACACGACGCGATTCGATTACGAAGCTCCTTGGTCAAGGGTCAAGGAGAAAGGCTTGCTCTGGCTCCAGGCCAGGAGGCCAGTAGGACTGACGAACCTTGCACACGACTACCACTTCGAGCTGTTTGTCCTCCAGGGCCTTGGTCACGGCGTTGAGTCCGACGGCCATGAACGTGCACTTCTCCCTCACCTCTTGTCGCTTGGCGATGAGCTTCTGGCGCGCAGTCTCCCGCGCCTCGGCGTCGGCCTCTGTGTCCTTGGCCTGAGTCTTGCCGCTCCTCTCCTTCAAAGGCTTTGTCGCTACCTGCATCACCTCTTTTTGTTCCGCCTCTCCTTCGAGTTCCATGACGTCCTTGTCTTTGGGCACTGCCGCCGGTGTCCCCGTCGCCGTCGCCGTCGTCTTATCTTCCTTATTCTTCGTCTTCTTATTCGTCTTCTTGGTTCGCTTCTTCTTGTTTTTGTTGGCACTAGGTGTGTTTGTAGCGGACGCTGATTGATCGCCTGCAGGTGGCGCCTTTCGCTTCTTTCGCTCTTTCTTAACCCGTATCCGCTTATACTCACCCAGCTCCCTGCCCGCGTCCAAGCAATATCCGCCATGGTCAGTCACAGGCACAGCACATGCACTAGTGCGGCGTGAATGTGTGGCGCGAGAAAGGGGCATACCGAGACAAACGCTCCACCACTTCGTTTCGCACGTCTTCCGCGACGGGCGACCTGCATGTACACAGCAGCTGCTCAGTAAGCACCACCACAACCGCGGACGAACAGTGGGATGGGTGAAGGGATAACACACCACTTGAGAACGAAGGGAGAGCCGAGGTGGACTTTGAAGCTGCTCGCCTGTTTGGCCTTCTTCTTTACATTGCTGCTTGCCAGCGCACCAATCCCAGCCCTCAGCTCCTGCGCCAGACTGCACTCCCCCACCACATGGTTGAATGAGCGAAATCTGAGATTGATGAAGAGAGGAAGAATCGTGACGCCGGGATGCAAAAGAGACACACGTACGGGTGGCTGGCCTTTCGCTTGGCCGTGGCAGGAGTTGCGGGCTTATTTCCTGAGGTTGTTCTTCCGGCCTCCATCTCTCTCCTTCGATCACGAGAAAGAAACGGGAGAAAGAAAAGAAAGAGAAAGAAAGAGAACCTGTTGGTCCGCGCTTATTGCTTGTAGGCCACTTTGAGGACGTGGTGAACGGTGTGCATTCGCCAACAGAATGGAAGGACCCGGAGCCCCCATCCTGGACTGGCCAATCCAGCGCCTTCCTGGGGTGTGCACGCATCTCTTCGCGCCGTCTTCGGACGCTATTGGGCTGCTCTCGATTTTTGACGATTTCCTACTTGCGCATTCATTAACGCTAATCTTTCCCTCTTTTCTTCTTTTTACAGTTCATCAATGACTTTTTCGATGGCCAGGTTGTGTTCATCACTGGTAGCTTCTCCGTTCCCTCTATCCATACTCACTGATTGAATTTTCAGCAATTATAATATGATTATTTGCTGATAAATCTGAAAGAGTTCAATTCGCTTTGCGTCGATGGCCAACGCCTTTTTCACTATATGTTGAACGTTCACTTGCAGGTGTGACCGGCTTCTTGGGCAAGATTTTGCTGGAGAAGATGCTGCGAGACCTGCCCGGCGTCTCCAAGTACTTCGTTCTCATCCGGCCCAAGAAGGACTGCTCTGCTGAAGAGAGGTTCGTCGCCTTTTCCTCCTCTCCAGCCTTTGAGACGCGCACACGCATCATTGCGGCGAGGCTGCTCATGCGCGGTTCAGGTTCCAGAAGGAGGTTCTCAGCTCGCCGCTGTTCAACCCGCTTCGCAAGGCACTGGGCGGCGATCGCGCATTTGCCGAGCTGGTCAAGGACAAGGTCGAAGTCCTCAAGGGTGACATCCTCGACGAAGACCTGGGCCTCAGCGCCGAAGAGGTACACTCATTTTAATTCCTATATGCACACCTAGAGCAGGCCCTGTCTCACCCTCTAGTGACTGGCTCCTGCAGATGAAGAAAGTGGTGGAGGAAGTGACAGTGTTCATCCACTGCGCCGCTACCATCTCCTTCACGGAGCCACTGCTTGACGCCATCAACCAGAACGTGGTCGCTGCCCTGCGCGTGCTCAAGATTGCCAAGAGCGCCAAACGCGTCAAGATCTTCACGCACGTTTCCACGGCCTACGTCGGCTGCAACAGGTATTGCGCCATTGCCTTCACAATCACAAGACACAGGACCCGCCAGACCAACTGACCCACCGTGTCTGTGCTGCCAATGATTGCAGGACGGGTTTCATCGAAGAAAAGGCCTACCCGTTCCCGTTCGAGCCCGAGCAACTGCTCAATCGACTGCTGACGATGCACCCCAAGGACGTCGAGAAGCAGACCAAGAAGCTCCTCGGCAGGTGCGCCCTGCGTCTTGCTCTCTACACACTTGTTGTACCGCACTCCCACTTCATTCCATTCTCCATACTCACCGCTCGTTGCAGATACCCCAACACCTACACGTTCACGAAGAGCCTGGCTGAGCACATGTTCCTGAAGAAGCGAGGCAATCTTCCGCTCGCCATCTGCCGGCCTGCCATCATCAAGTACCATCGCATTGCTCCCATCATACCCTCATTACTGATCGGCCTGTACAACCCTCCTGACGTGTGCGCATTGACCTTTTGCGGTGTTCGTACAGTGCGGTGAATCGCGACCCGGTACCCGGCTGGATTGACACTCTCGCTGCTGCTGGCGGACTTTACGCCGCGTGCGGATTCGGTATTCTCAAGTTCCTGCCTGGCCACCTGGAAAATGCCACCGATCAGGTCCACCACCCACCACCCACCACCCACCACCCACCACCCACCACCCACCACCCACCACCCACCACCCACCACCACCCACCACCCACCACCACCCACCAGACTCTGCTGCCTCCAATCTTATAGTGTAATCTTGTGCGCAGGTGCCTGCCGACTTTGTGGTGAACTGCATTATCGCTGCCACGGCCTACAATGCGGGCAAAGATCGCTACGCCATTTACCACAGCGGCACCTCACATCGCAATCCGCTCAGGTGGTCCCACATTGTCAAGTGTCTTCTGCCCTACTGGCTCATGGTAATGCTCCCTCTGAAGTTAAGGCGCCGGTCTGTGTGGTGTATGGCACTTACTCAAGCTTGACCACTCATCGCCGCTCCTGCTATGCACACACAGAATCCGCCCAAGCGCATGCTAGGACGTCCGTCGTTCCAGTTCATCTCCGGGCCGTACCCCATGTACGAGATCACCTACTTCCTCAAATGGACTGTGCCGGCCATGATCTACCAATTGCTGGCGCGCACCGTGGGAGACAAGAAGGTGAGGAAGAACGCCAAAATGCTGGGTACGTGGTGATTATGGCCATAACACCCACCTCGCTTGCGCCTCGTCACTGAGATGAGGAGACTCACCCGGCTTTTTGCCTTGTCCCTCCTGTTCATCCCCGCAGACCAAATCGATAAGCGGCTGACCAAGTTCACCGAGACCTTCCGCCACTTCACCGAAAATGTGTGGATCTTCGCGGTGGATAACTCAGACGAGCTGCTGCAGAGCATGACTCCCGACGTTCGATTCCCTTGCTCTAGTTCTTTCGCGACCCTCAACTTGGTTACTAACGCCCTCACATGTACACACACACACACACGCACGCACGCGCACGCGCACACACACACACAACCGCAGGAGAAGGAGGTGTTCAATTTCGATGCCTCCAAGCTGGACTGGGAAGACTACCTCATGCGCTATGCCTATGGCCTTCGCACCTACGCTCTCAATGAGAAAGGTCTGTTCCATTCACCGCTTCTGCGCACACCAAGAGAGCGGATCTCACCTGAAAACCGTTCTCTTTAGGTCTGAGGCCGCCGAAGAAGGGCGACTACCTGGTCTATAGCGGGCTGTCGTTGACCAGGAAGCCCTTCGCCGATATTATGTTCGCGATGAAGGTACTGCGCTCCTCCTTTGGTTGCAACTCACATCAAGCAGAGCGACCTGACAGAAGTGCTTGACAAACGACAATTTTTGTAGTCCAACTTGATCGTGAACAACGCAGGCATCTCCCGCACTGGCGAGCAGCTCAAGCTGCTCGTGCTGTCGTCTCCTCGAGTGCAACGGTGCGCTTCCGGCTTTCGTGCACATCGTCGCTTCAGCAACAGAGCACCCCTCATTAATTCCTTGTCTCCATTTCCACAGGGCCATCGCCCGTGAGGTATCAACAAAGCAGGTGTCCATCCAGGTTGCCGAGTCACGAGCCAAGTACGCCCAGCTCGTTGTTCGCAGCATTCATCGCCACGTTGCGAGGCGCCAAGGATTCACCTTTCTTCATACATGCTCGATCATGCCCACAGGAATATTTTGGAGGTCATGGGTGCCGAAGCCTCGCCTGCCGTACTCCGCTCGCTCGCCTGGGCGTTCAGAAAGATTTACCGGTACATCTAACCCCACCAACCAACAATCAACACATTGATAGTGACACTCACCTTCACGTGCTACTCCCCTGAAGGCGATTGTATTCGGGAGTGGTAATCAACCAAGTGGGTCTGGAAGCCGTCAAGGAGCTGTTTGGCACCACGCTCAAGAAGGAAAAGTCGGCCGTAGTACGTACCCTCCATTTCTGCTCCAAGAGGCATTGATGCGTTTGTTTGTTTCTTCATTGCATGCAATATTTGGTTAACTCGGGAGTACTACCAGGTTCTCATTCCGTCGCATCGAAGCTACATCGACTTCCTGATCGTGTCCTACATATTCTACTCCTTCCAACTGCCTGTCCCGCACATCGCCGCCGGCGACGACTTCCTGAATATGCTCCTCGTTCGGTGGATCTTCAGGCACAGGTAACGCGCGCCATTCTCCTTGCCCTTAGAAGAACTCTCCCGCACTGACACACTCAATTAATTCCACTTCGTTGTGGACACAGCGGTGCCTTCTTCATGCGGAGGTCGCTTGGCGAGGACGAGCTGTACCGTGAGATCTTCACTGAATACACCCAGCGCCTACTCCTCGATGGTAGAACGCGCATTGCTTCTTTTCTTACGCGGTCTCAGCTTACTGATTACTTACTATGTGTCGCTTCTGGGCAGGGTACCCCGTGGAGTTCTTCATCGAGGGCACGCGCAGCAGGTCGGGCAAGATGATCCAGCCCAAGATGGGTCTCCTCTCGATCATCACCGATCCCTTCTTTGAGGAGATGCTCAAGCCCAACCGTTCGACCAGGAACGCCGGAAGCGCCAAGAAGCAAACGCTGGAGGACGTGCACTTCGTCCCGATCGGTGTCTCCTACGAAAAGGTACCTTCTACTAAATCTTTGGTTGCGCGACGGCTCTAGGGACGATTCCCTTGCTGACCCGTCGCACGACCTTGTCAGGTGGTGGAGGAGAGCCAGCACGTGAAGGAGCTCATGGGCGAGAGTAAGCAGAAACCCTCCCTTCGCGCCCTGCTCGCTGCCGCCCATTGGGTGCTCTCGCTCGGTACCACTTCTCGCCTGTGCTGCTGTTGCGATTGCATCGGCCGCGCACTAATCACACACACACACACACACACACACCACACACACACACACACACACACACACACACACACACACACACACAAGACTTTGGGCGCATCAATGTGCAGTTCGGAAACCCCATTTCTCTGCGGTCGTTCATGAGCCAGGAGGTGGCCACCAACCCCGACAAGCGCGCTCTGGGTCCCCATGGGGACTGCCCTCCCCTCCCCTTCGACATCTATTCCCTGCCCGGTCTTCCCACCGCCGTACCGGCCAAGGTCGACGCCGCCGGCCCTAGTCCGTCGGAGAGCCAAGTCGCCGTCAGACCCGAAGCGGAACCCTACAATCCCTGGACCAACAAGAACCACCGCAGGATTGCCATCAACAATCTGGCCTTCAAGATCTGCCAGGAAATCGAAGGTAATCATACCTCCGTGGATGCGCGATTGCTGCCATGCAACGCCAATGGTCGCTTACACCGCTTTATTGTGCGTCCACAGCCAATATCGTGTCGATGTCGACCGGCATTGTGGCCGCGCTGGTGCTGACCCAAAGGAACGGTATCAAGGTCGAAGACCTCATCGAGAAGTTCTCCTGGCTCAAGGAACTCATCATCGCCAAGGGTGCGTTTGACCGCGTTGTTGTGCTGAATCTTTTGTTTTCCTCACTCACGCCCGAATCACAATCATGTTTTAGGCGGCTGGAACGACCCCATTCTGCACCCGGTGAACTACGTGGTGACGCGGGCCATCAGGCTCCTGCAGCCCCTGATCATTGAGCGCAACCGGCGCCTGGAACCGAACTACATCACCATCCAGGATCAGCGCAACTGGGTACATCTGGGCTACTACCGCAACCAAATCGTGCACCTGTTCAAGGATGAGTGCATCATGGCCGTGGCACTCTACTCCTTCGGTACGTCCACCCACGCACCCACCCACCCACCCACCCCTACTCACACGAGTGTACTTTCTAATAAACTAGGGCGCTCGACCGTCATCGGTGACGCTGGTGCGGGACAAGTGGGCGTCAGGAAGGACGAGCTCTTCGCGCGGATCGCATTCCTCTGCAGCCTGCTCAAGTTCGAGTTCATTCCCACAGGCAAGGAGGTACGCCCAGAGCGAATGTCGGTTCTTCTTAGCGCACGCGTCTCACCCGAGAATTGCTTGGCGTGTCTCTGTGGCTGAGCAGGACTACGAACAGCTGCTGGGCTGGTTCATCGAGAAGGGCCTCTTCCAGAGCAAGACCTCTGCCGATCACCAGCACTCTCTCATTTTTGTGCCGCCCCACGGCGAACGGTACCGTACCCTGTTCTAGTGCCCGCACAAGTGCCAATGGCCCATCCCCTGACGCTTGCCTCTTTCCACCCATTCCTTAGGTACTTCACGTTCCTGTGCCTGCTCTTCTGGCCGTTCATCGACAGCTACTGGCTGGCTTCCCTCGCCCTCTTCTCTGCGCTCCACGACCGCACCGTGCAGGTATGCGTACCGCCTGGCTGGTGTCTCCACGCACCACCAAACACCCGGCTAACCCGCTCAATTTCGCGCGCAGGGCACCACTCTGATCGACAACGCACAGTGGTTCGCCGACCATCTCTTCAAGGTACGCCGCTCCACCGAGCCTTCCACCTTGTCGTGGGTGCTAACGCCGGACACGATCGCCTCGGATCATATACACCGTGTGTGTATGTGTAGAGCGGAGTGCTTCAGCACTTTGACGCCAACAGCAAGGACACCTTCCATAATGCCTTCACCGTGTTCAAGCACTGGGGCATCCTCAAGGCCCGAGGCGAGAGATACACCAGCGGGTACGCCCCACATTTACTCTCTGCACCATTTATTCGCAAGCTGGAACAACAACTGATACCAATAATTTTGATTCACCCACGCCGGTCTTCTAGACGCGAGGTGTTGCTGCACTTGTCGCCCTACTGGCAGGAGGAGAAGGCGCTCGACGCCCTCGTACACCACATCGGCTCCTTCAGGCGTGAACCCCTCCGGCAAGGGTCCGACCCCACTCCCCCACCCATGTGATCTTGATTGTGGCTCATCCCCTTCTCCTCGTCAGGGTGCTCGACCGGAAAGCTCTGCTGGCGGACTTCCCCGTCGTGGCCAGGCTCTAGAGAGACCACCCCACCACCACCACCTCCGGGACTCCACGGAGATCAAGTTTTGCGTTTCATTTCTTCCCCTCCCGTTAATTACACACCTCTTTCCCAAGGCCACACGGCGATGATACGCTCGACGCTCGTTCCCTGTGGCTTCACCACTCGAAGGTGGTGGGCGGCTCTTCGGCGACGCGGCGCAGGTTCTCGGAGGCGGTGCGGAGGGCGTGCTCGACGATGCGGTACGTGTTGCGGTCGATCTGGAACGACCGCTCGGACTCGTCCTTGTAGTTGACCACGGCGTAGACGCGGTTCTCAGGGATGCCCAGCAGGTCCGTCACCTTCTGCTTGAGGGCGCGCACCTCGGGGTAGTCGCCCAGCGGGTTGGAGCGGAAGGCCGGCACGATCTCGTCGACCTTGCTGATGAGCACGAGCGGGTTGCGCGCGGCCTTGTCCTGCAGCCGGGCGTAGTTGGCCTTGATGAGCTCGCACTCGTCGTTCTTGTCGAGCGCGCTGTGGGTGATCATGAAGAGGATGACGTGCACGGCGCGCTCGGGCCTGGTGCTGGCGTTGTCCCGGATGGCCTTGGCGTGCTGGTCGTAGATCATGTCCATGCCCCAGTTGCGCGGGAAGACGCCATCGACCACGTTCTCCAGGTCGTCGTTGAGGTAGGTGGTGAGGGTGAGGCCCCAGGTGTCCACCAGTGCGAAGTTTTCGCCGTCGATGGTGTAGGTGGCCAGCTGCCGAGTGTTGTGCCGGGCGCACCCGCCCACGCCGGCCGTTTCGACTACGCTCATGCCGGACGATGCCAGGGTGAGCACCGCGTTGACGAACGCGCTCTTGCCCGCCCCCGCGAGGCCGAACAGGCAGACCTTGTACTTGGCCACCGCACCAGTGGGCGGAACGAAGGCCTTGAGCTTGCCCATGTAGCGCTCTGAATAGAACCCGGTGAACTTTCTTCAGTTGGTATAGAGTGGGCGTTTAGGGAAGCGTTGGGAGGGGGAGGGGGCATGGAGGACGCACCCATTCTGTCTGTCGTCTGCCTGGTGACATCATTGTACTTCCAGGTGACGCAGCCCGTCATGTCTTCGATACTCTTGTGGGAGTCGATGTGGGCGGTGATGGTGACCTTTACGGTTCCCCAGGGCGCGATGGCAGGCACGACGCAGCTCGAGGCGCTATTGTAGCTGTCGCACAAGATGTGGAGTCGCGAGCCGGGAAGCTGGGCGTCGGAGTTGTTCCTTATTTCGACGTTCCAGGTCTGGCCCTGACCAATAGCCACTCTCTTGGAGGGAAGGTACGGCGTAATGACGACAGACATATCTGTAGCAAGGCAGCAAACCGTAGAAGGGAGAAGTTGTTGTGTGCGGGAGGTGCGATACAATAACAGACTGAGGCCCCTGCCAGATTTATGGCCCGACTGACTTCAACCGAAAAGCGTCAAATGGCCAGACAATGCTGACAATTTTGGTTTCGGCCGAACAAGGATGTGCCTTCATAATGTTCCAGCCCAGGGGCTTTGTTTCTTTTATCGACTTTCACCAACTTACTTCACCATGAGCAAACACGGCTTTGGACACACCTACAACCACCACCTGCAAGCACTGTACCCCTCCTCCTCAAGCCATAGCGGAGTGGAGGAGCAGCAACTCCGCCCACCTCGTCGCTGCTGCGGGGGCTGCAAGGCGCTGAAGAAAGAGCACAAGCGGCTGAAGCAAAGCCTGGAAGAACTAAGAGCGCAGGTGCACCGTCAAACCGAGATCACCCAGGGGCTGGTGGCGCACCTTGACGAGAGAGCCCAGAACCATTCTTCCCCAGTCGCACCTGATGAAGAGGAGGGGCAACCGCTCCCTCTGTACATCAACGAGTCCACGCTCGACACCTGCATAGATCAAGCTTTGCGCCACCTGTTCTCAACCTTCCAAGTGCGCTGCACGATCAACCAGTTCACAGCCCTCCCTCCCGGTCACGAAGCGCATCAGTCGCTCCCCCCATCTGCCGACCCACTGTTCTACGTCGTCTTCCTCACCAGCGACCGCTTCGAGGAGCAGGTCAACCAAGCCAAGTTCGAACAGTTGCGCCAGGCGCATCCAAGTACCACTGCGCCCTTCCCCGTTCGTCGTTATTGTATAGTGCCAACTCACTTTGTCAACAACAGAAGCGGTGATATTGGCGATGAGGAAGGGCAATAACCCGCTATGCTTCAAGCAAGCCACGACCACCCTCTACAGCCCGGAGGACACCAGGTTACTCACGTTCTACTTCGGGCTGGAAAACCGCATAGAGGACTGCGACTTTAACAGGCGCTCGGCCGAAGCTCTGCGGGGTCTGCTGCCGGCCTGGGCGCTCCCGCCCCCGCCCAAGAAGAGGCTAGAGCTTCACCTCCCTCCCTGGCTCTCTTCGCTCATTCCGGGAGTCAAACACAACTAGACTTTGTCTCCTTTCGGTGGAAGTTTACTACAACAAGAATGTTGCGCTCGCAAAGAATGTTGTAAAATTTGGTTGGGATTTCTATCGAACCTCGCCCAAAAGTGATAACAGGCCAAGGCGCACCCACCGTCCGGTGCCGACCCCACAACAACAACAAGGAGACCAAAGCACTGCGACGTACCTACATGGCGCAACAGAACGAAACGAGGGACGCGGGCGTGGCAGCACTGAGGCTGGGGGTGGTTGGCACAGGGGACCCCTCTGTCACCGACTTCTTACCCACCAACAGCCTCGTGGTCCCGCTACTCACCGACCTCTACGAGCTCACCATGGCCTACGCCTACTGGAAGGTGCAAGGCCTGCTCCATTTTCGTGTTGCACTTTCTTTTCTTTGATCTTTTCTTTGTTTGTTTATGTGCTCACTTCTTCATCGACCAGGCCGGCAAGCATGAAGAGCACGCCGTTTTCGACTTGTTCTTCCGCAAGAATCCATTCAAGGGGGAAGTCACAATCTTTGCCGGCCTCGAAGAAGTGGTGCGCCAACATTACCCCCCCCCTCAAGCTTCCTTTGCTTTTCCTGTTGTTTGGGAAGGTGTTTGACTTGTTTTAATTTTGGCGGTGGCCCATCACCAGCTGCGTTACGTCAAGAACCTTAGGTTCACCAAGGGTCAGATAGACGAGTTGCGCGCCAAGGTGCGTCCGCCCCACACCCACTCCCATCGCCGTGTCCTGGGGAAAGACGCGACTTTCCTGTGCTTTTCGACCCATCACCGTAAGCTGTGGCGCCACGTGTTGAGCATGCACCCAAGCAGCGCTGCCCAGTGGGGCATCTGCAGTGAGTTGCATGTGTGTTGTATGCCGCGGTTTTCATTCGGCCCAGGTCAATGACCTGTAAATGAAACACGACACACAAGCACCACCACACAACATGCCATTTTCCGTCTGTTGTATCTCCTCGCACACCACCATCACCAACAAAATGCTCGAGCGGTGGTGTGCAAAGCTGACCATCACCACCACCACCGGCTCGTTGCTACCCCGCACTTCTATGCACGCCTTTCTCACCACCATCACCACCATCAGGCGCTGCGCCACTGTCGAGAGGACGGCTTCTACGAATGGCTCGCCACCGTGGACTCGTCCAAGCTCAAGGTCGGTTGCCCCATCTCTTTCCTCCCGTTGTGCCAACGTAGGCATCAACGGCCAAACATGCTGACCACAAGTCTGTGGCGGCGGCGGTCCACCGCCGGTCAGATCTACGCGGTGCCCGAAGGAACGTTGATGTTCCCTCGCGTACCGCTGATTCGAGTAGAGGGTCCCCTTGCCGTGGCGCAGCTGCTCGAGACGACGCTCCTCACGCTCGTCAACTACCCCAGGTCGGTCACACTCATCACCGCCGCTGTGCCCACACGCCCGACAAATTACTCACTCATACACTGTGCTGACCGTCACAACAGCCTGATTTGCACCAACGCCATGCGCCATCGCCTCGCTGCTGGCCCGAACAAGGTGCCTTGTTGGCGCCTATTCTATACCCCCCTCTTCTTCTTCTTGCTGCAGTTCACGCGCAACCGATCGCGCTTCCTAAACTTGCGGTGCATGTGTGATTTTTCGTTTTTCGTCGACGCAGGGGTTGATGGAGTTCGGGTTGCGGCGAGCCCAGGGTCCCGACGGAGGCGTGTCGGCCTCCAGGTATTCCTATATGGGCGGCTTCGACAGCACCAGCAACGTGCTGACTGGCCTCCTCTGGGACATCGAAACCCAGGTACGCAACAAGTTGCGTGGTGGCCAACATGTTCTGCAAACGCTCCGCCTCTCCAGATGATTGTGGCTTACTCGAGATCCATTGTACCCAGGGCACGCACGCGCACTCCTTCGTCGAGAGCTTCTTTGACGACGTGCCCCTCAGCGTCAAGCATCTCAAGAAGAAAGGTACCAGCAACGCTGAGTTATTATTACTGTTACCCCCCCCCAAATCTAATCACATCACGCTGTATGAACAGGCGGCGAGGAGGAAGACTTCGAAAAGGCGGCCATGGAGTGCCGCGAGGAGCTCGGCTTCTCCAACACCAGCACGGGAGAGCTGAGGTCGTTCATTTCCTACGCCATGTACGTATCATCCGGACCTAGGCCCAGCCCCGTGGGTGCGAGGAAGTGTGCTTGACACTATCAACGCTCTTTGCGCTCGCGTGTGCAGTGCCTTCCCGACGAGTTGCGTTTGCTTGGTGGACACCTACGACACCATGAACTCGGGCGTTCCCAATTTCCTCTGCGTTGCCTACGCCCTGCACAAGGTCTCCCACAGTGAACCACACCACGTCCGCAAGATGGGTTTACTAACCGCACCGTGTGCGTTGGTCTCTACTAGTTTGGGTACAAGGCGGCGGGCATCCGCCTGGACTCGGGGGATCTGGCCTACCTTTCCAAGCAAGCGCGCAAGCTTTTCGCGTGCGTCACCCATGATGAGAATCTCTGCGCTCCGCGTACTGATTTTGTTCTTGTTCCTCCCCTCGGCGTGTTGTGTGTGTGTGTGTGTGTGTGTGTGTCGTGCGGTGCTTGGCCTGTGTTGTGTGCTGCAGTAAGACGGCAGATCGTTTGGGTCTGGCCTACTTCAAGAAGTTCCAAATCGTGGCGTCGAGCGAGATATCCGAGGACGTGCTCTACTCGCTCAATCAGCAGGGCCACGAGATCGACGTCTTTGGCGTGGGCACCAACCTCGTACCCTCCCGCAGCTCCCTACGTCACCTGCGGAGGCATTTTATGCTGAACCCAGCCTCATCGTCGCGTTACGTATACAGGTGACGTGCCAGAAGCAGCCCGCGTTGGGATGCGTTTACAAGCTGGTCGAGCTGAACGGCGAGAACCGGATCAAGCTGTCGGAAGCCATCGAAAAGGTATTTTCATTGCCAATGCACTGCACGAGCACACCCTTACGTGTGCCGTGTGTGCCGTGTCGTGTGTCGTGTGTGTCGATGGGCAGGTAACGATACCAGGGCGCAAGCTGGCCTATCGTCTCTATGGCAAGAAAGGCGGGCCGGTGATCGACGTCATGCTTCAGCTGCCGCCGCCCGGCAAAGGCAACTCCGCCGATAACGATGTGGCCAAGGGGGATACACCCGCCGAGCACAAGCGTATCCTTTGCTGCGATCCGTTCGACGGCAAGAAGAGGTGCGTTTGGCTGGCCGTTTCTGTGTGGCTTGCGTGTGCCGCCGCTCATCTACGTGCGTTCGTGTGCGTGCGTGCAGGGCTTACATCACCCCCACCAAGGTGGAGAAGCTGCACCAGCTGTACTTTAGCGACGGCAAAGTGGTGCAGGAGCTGCCCCACATCGGACACATCCGCGCGCACATACTCGATCAGATTGCCAACCTCCGACCCGGTACGGAACCTCCTGTTCTTGCTTCCTCCTTTTCGTTGAACAGTCCGGTTCGCTGCGTGGCGTTGCTGGTTGAAATTCTTCTGAAACGAAATTAGGAGGGTTGCACCCCTTCATCACAAAGCAACCGAGAACCAAATCTGCAAATCATAGAAATCAGCAAGTCGGGTTCGTAGGGCTGAGGCACCAACAGATACGGACTCGGACTGCGGTGAGAGGCGCAGCACACATCTCACCCTCGACCGCTTTCCCTTCGTCTCGTGGCACCACCACTCTTGTTGTGTGTGTGTCGTGTGGCAGACCACTTGCGGCCGTTGAACCCCACCCCCTACAAGGTGTCTGTGACGGAGACGGTCTTTCGGGACTTCCACCGGCTGTGGGAGCAGTCGGTACCCATCAAGGACATCTCCAACCTCAACGTTGAAGTTGACGAGTGAGGTTTGTGGCGGTGAGTACCAGGAGGCTAAAGGTTCTGCCGTGAGCGGAGCACCTTACACACACCATCTGATTTGCGTTCTCTTTTGTGGCCACGCACGTGTATCTATTCTAAAGCTGATGGTGTGTGAACAGGCACCCGCCTGCGGACTCGCGCTTTCCCTGTACACGCGCCTCACCGCTCTTCGTTCTTGCGCTGGGTTTGCTCTCTTGCGTGTAATTGGTCAATGCTTGCGCGCCAAGCACTAGTACCCGCCACTTCTCGCCCACCTCCACGCCTGATCACCGGTGAGTGGACTTAGTCGCGCGTGTGTGCTCTCCCGGCGCCTGGGGTTTGTGGACTGCGGCGTGCGGGTGATGCCCGGTTGGTGGTTGTTTCATTTTACTGGTTTGGCAAGTCGGGCAGATGGCGGCCGCGGTCGGTCGCCCAACAGGGCCTGGCCTGTTGTCAATTTCGTCCGCCCACCGAAGAGATGCCCACCTTCTGCCGCTGCGGCAGACCAGATTGGGCACCGCGGGGGGTGAGACAACGATCCTCGGTTCTTTCCTTCCCTCCTGCGCAAGAGGGTCATATTTAGGTCTCTACGACCGTGGTCGCACTTGCCCATCGCGCGTAATGCCTAGTGACTTGGGTCACCTATAAAAGGCGACCTCCTTGCTCGCGGCACTTCACCCTCCTTTTACATCCTAATCACTCGACCACAGCAGCTGCTCACCGGCTCACAGTTGTACCACTAACCAACTACGACCCTACCTCTGAGCACCAACCACCGAGGTATTAACTCACCACCTTTTTTTTTCCGCCTTCTCTCTTTTTTTCACGCCGTGTACAAGGTTAGGATGCTGACGCCTGCCACCTAACCTCACCCTAGACACCTTGCATTCAACGCCTCCAACCTCGTAGCAACTACCCAAGCCCCAGTCATCATCGTCAGACGCCTCGTCCACCTCCCCAACACCATCATCATCAAAGTCAGCCCATACCGCATAGAGTCACCCAAAGTCGCGCAAGTCAAGCCAGCATAAGCGGTTGGGGAAGCGGTCGCTTAGGCAGAGGAAGGTACAGGCGCACACCACCCTGGCGTGCTGTGTATCCAGAACGTTACCTAAATTGGTCGCCCCTTTGTAACGCCATAGGATCGTGCCAACTGGCAACACCTTCGGTGATTCAACACCACCAACTGAGCAGCATGTCATCGTCGGCCTCGACTTCGCCCTCCACGTCGCCCCTGTCATCGCCCACCCTGGCCAGCACCCTGACCGTGGTCCACCCCAACTCGCCCATCGTCATCTCCGTCGCGGCGCAGCCCTCGTCGCCCAGCCCCACGTCCAGCCTGCGTTCGGTGGTCGCGCTCCGCCAGACGCTGGGCCACGCGCTGTCCTCGGGCGACTCCAACATCCTCTCCCTGCTGCACACCCTGGCCGAGAAGGGCAAGACCCGGCACGAGGACCGCAAGAAGCGCAAGCGAGCCAAGAAGGAGAAGAAGGAGCAGGCCAACAGCAGCAGCAGCAAGTCGGCGACCTGGTCGGCCACGTCCATCTTGGATGCCAAGGCCAAGATGGCCGAACCCGCGGCTGCCAGCGCGAAGAAGACCCCGCCCAAGCGCAAGAGGAGCGTGTCCGACGCGCGCATGTTTGCTTCGGACGACACCCACATCGTGCACCGCGACCGCAGCCGCTCGGCCCCGCTGTGCGCCGACGTCAGAGCGAGCCCGACCATGCCGGGCACGCCGCGCCCCAAGGAAGTCCCCGTGCGCAGCCACAGCCACGGGTCATCGCTGACCCGTGACCCGCCCACGCTGGGTGCCGGCAAGCCCAAGAAGACGAACAGCGCCGGCAGCCTGCCGACGGTCCACCTCTCGTCGTCGTCGGTGCCCATCAAGAAGTCGCCCAGGATGCGCGGCCGCAGCTCGAGCGTCTGCGGCAGCTCGGCCAGCGCACCGATCCGCCGCGCGGCGCCCACGACAACGACATCGTCGACGCCAAAGCAGACCATGGCCGCCCTGCTCTCACCTCGCTCCGAGCGCATGGTGCCACCCACGACCACAACCGACGGTTTCTGCGTGCACGGCCGGCCGCACCATCATCAGTCGCGCACCTCGCTCGTCGCGACGGGCCACCACCACACCTGCCGGCACGCCCGGAGCGTGCCCGTAAGCGTCGAGATGGACGCCGCGCCCACCCTGATCGCCGTCTCGCCCACCACCGCTGCCACAAGCTTGGATGGCAGCACCACCGGAGGCGGCAGCAATCACTGGGCTCTGGGCGACGCTGAGCTGGAGTCGATCCTGTGCGGCATTGAGGAGAGCGCGGTGGCTGCCAACTCAAGTGCAACTACGACCCCGTTCCTCACCGCGAGTCTGTCGGACTCGACGTCGACCTCGCCTGTGTCGCTGTCGTCGGCGCCTCTGGAGCGCAGGACCTCGCTGGACATCATGCACATTGCCGACACGATGGAGCGGGTGAGCATCGACAGCAAGGAGTCGGACGAGTTCGACCCGATGCGCTTCCTCGACATCGAACTGGCCACGGCCACGGCCGCCGTCGCCGCTGCCGCCCAGCAGCAGCCGCTGATTGTGCCCACTCCGGTCTACCCCCAGCAGCAGCACTCCGCCAGGCAGCTGCCGCCCTTTGGCTACGCTACGCCTCCTCCCCATTACGCGATCCACCAGCACCATCAGCAGCAACCGAGGCCCCACTTCACGCCCCAGCAGCTGACCCGCTCCATGAGCCACCCGCACTCGTTCCACACGCCCGGCGCCACGGTCTCGCCGACGATCAACGAGGCTTCGCCGGCGTTCGGGTCGATGCCGGCGCGGTGCAACAGCGACCTGGGGTTCTTCTCGTCGCTGATGGCGGGCAACCAGGACGAGCAGCAGATGCGCGAGCTGCTCATGGCCATCGACGGGGCCGCAGCGTCCATCCCCGATCTCGGCTACTACGACGCAACCAACTGAATGTGCTCGACGCCATCACCACCAGCCGAACGCACATTTTTCCTGAATCGATCGGTCAGCAGCATCGGCAGCCCTCACTACAGTACAACGAGAGAGGAGAAGCAGTAACTTAGAGAGATACTCGCACCCACATATTCTGTACACACCCACAGCCACAACAACCACACCCATAACCATTGTACACATATACTTACTTGCACATCGTACACCAATACACCCAACACCAGCAAGCAGCATAAGAAGTTGAAAAAAAATAATGTTCTTGTCCCCGTCTGTTTTCATTACACGTCGATTTGCTGCTGGTCGCAAGTGCTGGCGTGAGCGTTCTACACGCCCCCGCTCAGCCCCAGAGCGCACGAGCGACTCGACCGAACCACCCGTTGGCGGCGGCATCGTCGCCCTTGTCCTTGTTGTAGTCCTGCACGACGATCTTGCCCTTGTTGCCCGCGTCCCTGGTCCTCTCACGCTGGAGGTACTGCGGTGACGAGTTCTCCTTGTCGTCTAGGCCCGGCATCGAACTGGCGACCTGCTGCAGGGAGGCAAACATCAACACACATCACAATCACCACAACCACAATAAATTAGAAGAGAGAAAGAGACGAGAGAGAGAGTGGTGCATGATACAGATCAGGGCTTGTTAACAGCTGCATAATAAATAGCCACCAACCGATCGACGAGATGAGTGGGACTCGTACCAGGCCAGTAATCTCTCGGACTGACTTCAGAAGCTCCTGTTCGCTGATGATAGCACGCACAACGGCCTTTTCCTCAAAGATAGAGAACGAGATGACGCCCTTTACGGACAGCCTATGGGAAGAAAGAACAATAACCAGCACAGTGTTGGCGTGAACATGTTGTACAATCAATCAGTGAAATGAAAGAGTGCACGTACAACTTCTTCTCCAGAGCTGCCTTGTTGTCTGGCCGGTTCTGGAGACCCTTGACGAAGACGGTGAACGTCTGTGCCGTGGCAAGTCGGTTGGACACCGACGAAGAGAAGAGTGCCAACCCGGGAGCAGCGCCTACACAACAGGTCAAAGTAAAGTCAGCGCTCTTTTTCGCCTCGAACAAGATGAGGTGCCACACGCGTACCCGAACTCTGGGCGGTGTTTGCTGATTGATTTGAAGAGAGAGCGCCGAGGCCTTGGGAGAAAAAGGATGACAATTTGAGATTTCTCCTCGACAGGATCCTGAAGTGGGGCGGGGGGGGCATACCACCAAAGCCAACTGTGGCGCTGCGACCTGCTGGGCCAGCCGCGGCGGTGCGGAAGATTGACATCGTAGGGCCTCCCTGAGGGACAGCACTCTGGAGATGCACAGGAATCAATTAGTCACCGCCGTCAGGGAAGGAGAGTTTGTCAAGGGATTTACCGCAGCAGGCTTGTTCTCTTCTTGCTGGTTGGGGAACTCTTCGTTAATCACATCCGCATCAACCTCCTTGGTGGAGGCAGCCACCGACGGTGTCGAGGTCGTCAGTTCGTCGCTGGAGCCTGATGATTGGTAGGCCTGGAGGTTTGTGTAGGTCTTGATGGCATGCGACTTGACCTTGGCGTCGAGGGAGATGTCCATCATCATCTCCTGTACTCGCGACAAGAGGTTCTTCTCGCTGGCGATCCTCCGTCGATTGGCGGCGTTCGATTCCGAGACGAGGAAGTTGATCACCTCGAGAGCGATCGCCACAGCCTCGTCATCTTCGTCCTCAAGAAGTGCCACGAGCTGCGGAAGGTACACATTGCTGGCGATAAAGGTAGAAATGCTCGGTGTGTCGTGCGCAATTGTGCGGATCCTCTTCGCCTCTGTGATGGACTCCATTTCCTTCTCGCGTAAGATGGTGAACGCTTCTTCTAATTGGCGAGCTCTATAGAGAAAGGAGAGGCTTAGTGGAGCTTCGCTTGCGTGTTGTCAATCGAAGAGTGCAGCGCTGGAGGAAAACGACAACGCGCCACAGCAAACAAACGGCTCGCAACCAAAAAAAGGCGCCAAACCCAACATTCCTCCTCACATTCCTCCTTTTGGACGGCGGTATGTGAAACAGTTGATTTTTTTATTTCCTTTTGAAAATATAAAACGAAAACCACAAAACCATACCCCAACGCATCCATGGATGAGGCTCTGAAGACGGCCTTTACCAGCGTGCTTGCTTCTCCGCCAGGTGCAACATCAAGCGGAGCTCGACTGGGGTATGCCACGCTGCATCGAGACGTCTACGCGGCAGCTAACAGGGGCGAGGAGGAGGTGCACGCCCTCGCTGCCCTGTTCCACTATGCGGCCGCGTCGTCCCTCCGTAGCTTCCTTGCCACCCTTCCAGCCCCTCAGGTGCGTGTCGTGCCGCTCTTACCTTCGCCCCCCCCCCCTTCCTGCGCCTCACCTTGCGAAATGGGGGCGCTCTTGGGCCGACTGAGCACACAGCTCCTGGACGAGTGGCAGCGAGTGCAGAACCTCGATCGATTTGTCATCAAGCTCGGTATGTACCTGCTGATACTGAGACGTCTAGCCTATGCGTTGCTGTTCATGGTTGCCCTCTTGCCACAGTAAGCGGAAGACGTCGCCTGCTCAGCCTTCACCCGCACTTGCCCGCCGTGGGAGCGCTGGCCTACCGCGACCTCCTCGCTCACCACCCGGCAGTCCTGCGTGTGACCGCGGTGCGTTGATGAGGCGCACACGGGTTGAGTGTTTGCGCTCACCGGAGGTGCCACTACAGATGGCGGAGAGAGGGTCTGGAGGAAGCTTGTGCGAGGGCATGGACATCGAAGTCGCGGCTCCGACTAGAACTGACCAACACGTCAACACGCAAGACGAAGCAGATGACCGCAATAAGACTAGGCTACAGTCTGCTCTCGAAACTATTCACAAAGGTTTGCGTTATCACTCCCGCACTGTGTTCACCCTTCCGCTGACACGCTTTTGTCTATTGTCACACAACAAGGCGTGGTGGAGGCCATCGCCAAAGCGGAAGAGATGAGCGAGCTGCGGTTGGCCTTGCCTGAAGTACAGAAGCCATTCCCGCGCACCCGGTTCACGCGCACCAAGAATATCCTTCACGACTTGGACGACATCTCGTTCTTGCGCCCGTCTGCCTTCTCTCCCGTACGACCTTCACATCATCAAATCTCACAGTCTGACTAGCGCATCGATTGATACTTGGGCTCATCATGTGCGTGTGTGCACAGGACCAGGTGAAATACGTGGACCTGCACCTGGACCAAATGGGATTCGTGCTTGAAAACGTGTTTTCGGTGGACGAGTGCCGTGCTCTCATCTCCGAGTCCAAGCGCGTGGGCTACGGCAGCCTCGAGGGCGAATTCCTTCCCTCAAGTACACTCTCCTGCCTTCGCGTCATCTATATCGGCAAGCCTCCGCCTGATCGTCGTGGTGCACCACAGTGCGGGACAACAAGCGCGCGTTGATCATGTGCCCAAAGCTCGCTGATGAGCTGTGGAATCGGGTATGTCCCCCGGCATCCTCCTTGGGTTAACAGAGGCACTGACGAGATATGCCCGTGTCACACCCTGCTGTAGGTGAAGTCGTTCATCGAACGCGATGCGCGCGTCCTCGCCCTCCGACCGTTTGGATTCAACGCACAGGGAACTTGGAAGCCGACGCGCCTCAACCCCCTCTTCAGGTTCGTAGGTCCCCTGTCAGCCTTTTGCAGCAGGAATAGTGCTTACGTGCCTTTCTATCATGTGTTACGTTAGGTTTTGTGAGTATACGGCGCCGTCGGTAGGTTTCGTGCCACATCGCGACGCCAGCTTCATCGGAGGTTCAGAGGAGCGCTCGATCTTCACCATCATGCTGTACCTCAACGACGAGTTCGAAGACGGCACCACCAACTTCCTCCACTCGCACACCGGCGGTCGTATAGATGAAACGATCGACGTACTTCTTCCTTTTCTGACGTTGAAATTGTCCAACGCTCTGATACGCGTCGGTCTCTCTCTCTCTCTCTCTCTGTGTGTGTGTGTGTGTGTGTGGTGTGTGTGTGTTAGGAGGAGCTAAAGCGAGGGTACGATGTGGTCTATAAGCTGCGGCCAAAGCCGGGGCTCTGCGTGATCTTCGAGCACACGATTCTCCACGAGGGAGCACCGGTGCCGCAGGGACACAAGTACCTTCTTCGTACCGATGTCGTATTCCAAAGGTGAATCCTCCCCCCACGGCGAGCCACTTCCCCCACCAACGTTTGTGTTCACCCATTCCCCTGTCTCCGATCAAGAACCGAAAACCCCAAGGCGGGCGACGAGTCGTACCGCACGCATCCGCTCTACCGCCGAATGGTGCAGTACTACAAGGTACTTCAAACCCCAAACCACAGTTTCACCTCTTCAAGAGGCTCGAGATGGGGAACCACTCAACGGGTGGTGCGGTGCAGGACGCGGCTGACGAGGAGTGTCACGGGCGAGTCGACAAGTCCAGCGAGCTATACGAGCGTGCCCTGTCCATTCGTCAGTGGTACCGCGAGGCTTCGTCCTGACCTACAACCCCACGGTGTAGCTCCCCTTTCTCTCCACCAACGGTACGTATAATATATAATATATATATTTATAAACACACCTCTACATGTAACGGCTAGAGTGCGCCGTGTTTGGAGAGCAAGAGTTGGGTGAAGGGACACACCCGGCATTCAGCGCACGCCCGGTTAATTGCGCCGTTCAGTTCAAATCCAATTTCTGTTTCTGGCGGCCACGTCATGGCATTGGCCAACCAGACAAGAAAACAAGAACCAACGGGCAGCGGCACTCTTTCACCCAACCTTCGAAGAAGCACACTTGAGGCACACAACACGACGATGTGTGTACCGCCAGGTGAGTTGCGTTTCTCCTGTTCTCTGCAAACAAATTCTGACCCCAATTACCTCCTCCTCGACGACCAGGCATCATGCTCTACAGGCGCGTGCCGCACCCTCCCATCACCTATCAGCCCTATTCACCCCCACAAACCTTCCCGCTCCCCATCAAGGTACTTCTTATTTGGCCGCAATTTAAATGTCTAGTTTTTTTTACTCAATTTATTTTTTTCTATTTTGTTTTTGAATTGGCGTGACTTTGTTTTGCAGGCGGTCAGCATTGAGGCCAAGGTGGCCGACTTGTGCGCGTCGGTGACCATTCGACAGAAGTTTGTCAACACCGAGGAGACTCCCATCGAAGGTATATCTCGCACCAAGGAGCCGGGAGCAGGTTCGACTTTTGGCGAACAGTTCACAGCTCACCAGTCTTTCTCTGCTCTGCGAGAGCAGCCATCTACCAGTTCCAGTTGGAGGACAAGGCCACCGTGAGCGACTTCACGGCCTTCATCGATGGCAACAAGATCAAGGGCACCATACAGGAGAAGGAAGAGGCCAGGAACACCTACGTACGACACTGCACAACTGCACCCCTCGCCGACGGTTGTCAATGGCTCACTGGCTTTCATTCTTCGTTCTTTGGTCTTTGGTCTTCTTCGTTCTTCTTCGTTTTCGTTTTTGGGGGAACAGGATGACGCGATCGCGAGCGGACACGGAGCGTACAGGATGGAGGAGAACGAGGAGGAGCCCAACCTCTTCACCGTGAATGTGGGCAACCTGCCGCCGGGCAAGGAGGTGGAGGTGGTGATCACCTACGTCACCGAGCTCGAGTTCGAAGAGGGGCAGCTCAAGTTCCGCATCCCCTCCAACAACCAGAACCCATCGTACACGGCGGCCGGCAACTCGCCGCCGCAGCTCAAGCTGCAGGTCCACTTCGGTACGCACATATCCTGTCGACCACATCATCGTGTAAGTAAGAGTGAGAATAACACACGTCGTGCGGTGGTGTGTGCGTGGCGTGTGTGATGGACAGACATGACGAGCAACATCAAGCAGCTCTCGTCGCCGTCGCACCCGATCTCGTTCGAGTTTGGCGACGAGCCCACGCAGGCCACGGTGACCCTGGGCGACACCACCAAGACGCAGGCCCAGGACCTGGTGGTGCTCACCAAGCTCGCCAAGCCCCACGAGTATGCACATTCCTCCCAAATTCCTCTACGACGGCCCGGTACCGCTAGCGAGACTGACCACCAATATTGATGTCGACAGGCCTTGCGGTCGGGTGGAGGTGGACGAGAAGGGCACCAAGACGGTGATGGTGTCGCTCTACCCCAAGCTGGCGCAGGACGACGACGAAGACATCTACACGGAGATGATCTTCATCGTCGATCGATCCGGAAGCATGGCGGGCAGCCGGATGCAGCAGGTCAAGGACACGCTGCACATCTTCCTGCGAAGCTTGGGCGAAGGCACCCAGTTCAACATCATCGGCTTCGGCAGCCGCACGCAGCACCTGTTCCCCAGCGGCAGCGTCGAATACAACGACAAGTGCGTGCGCCACCACACATACGACACGTGCGCGCGCGCGCGCACGCACGCACGCACACACACACACACACACACACACACACACACACACACACACACCAACACACACACACAAACACACACGGCTGAATGTGACTTTTACTTCAGAAACTTGGAACTGGCGACCAAGCACGTTGATCAGATGTTCGCTAATCTGGGCGGCACCGACATCCTCAAGCCGCTGACGGAGGTCCTCCAGCAGCCGCCCAAGGAAGGCTACCCTCGCCAGCTGTTCATCCTCACCGACGGCGAGGTGAACAACACGCAAGAGTGCATCCAATTCGTGCGCAAGCACGCCGACACGACGCGCGTGTTCACCTTCGGCGTGGGCAACGAAGCCTCGCAGGATCTCGTCAAGGGTCTCGCCAAATCCGGCGTACGTTGCATTCCTCTCCTAACCCGCACCCGAAACGTTTTGATGATTGCTGACTTCGACCCGCGCAACACACGCACGCACGCACAGGAGGGCTTCTTCGAGTTCGTGAGACCGGGCGAGGGCATGGAGGAGAAGGTCATGCGGCAGCTGCGGCGAGCCATGCAGCCGGCGCTCACCGACGTCACCGTTACCTGGAAGGGTGCCACCCAGGTGGAGCCGGCCCCGTTCCGCTTTGCGCCCGTGTTCTGCGGCGGTCAGTTGGTGGTGTACGGCATTGTCAAGAAGGGCCAGGTCGACTCAGATAACAACGTCGAGGTCGTAGTCCAGGCCAAGACCGTTCTCAAGCCCTTCGAGGCCGCAATCCAGGTCGACCTGAGCAAGGCCAAGCCCGGTAACCTGCTCCACAAGCTCGCAGCCAAGACCCTCCTCAAGTACGCTCCTCTGAATGCTCGCTCTAAGAAGCAATTTTTGTCTTCTGACACACACACACAACACACGCACACATACAACACAGGAGCATCGATGATGGCCGGAGCTATCTGCACGATGCGGCCGGGAATGTCAAGAGCGGAGGTCAGGCGGGTCTGGTTGCCGAGGCAGTGCGCATCTCGCTGGCAAGCGGCGTGCTGTGCAAGCACACGGCGTTCGTGGCCGTCGAGGAGCGGGAGGACGCCACCGAGAGCACTATGCAAGTGCGCAAGATCCCCATCACCTTCGAAAAAGGTAGCCATCCACACCCAGGCCTTCTTTCACACGGCACCGAGTTGATCAATGTGTGACGATTGTGTGCTGTCGCAGCTTCGCCGTTCAGAGCTCCGCCACCGCCTTCCCCACTCTTCTACTCTCCTTATCCGAACGGTACGCGTCTCGTCGTGTCTTGTTGCTAGGCCCAACCACCCTGTGTGCTTGCCAACTCACATGCAACTGGGTGTAGTCATGCAAGGCCCGACAAGCTTCAGCTTCTCGGGTCCCATAGGCTACGGTGGACCGCCTCCGCCGCCCATGGCCGGTGGACCGCCCCCGCCCCCGCCCGGTGCCCTGGCGCCTTGCCTGCAGCCCTTGGCCCCCGCAGGACCGCCGCGGCCTATGATCCCCTTGGCTGGGCCGCCACCGCCGGCACCGTCGCCGTCGATGTCCATGGCTCACAGTCGTGGGCCGGCCTCGCCCCGTCGAGCGCCGCCGCCGTCAGGGGGAGCTGCACCGATGCGGACTTCTTCTTCTACTTCTTGCTCCTCTGCGACCGCGGACTTTGGCCTCTTACGGAAGTCATCGCTCCCCACGGCCCCGCCCTCCCGGCAATCGGCTCTTGCGATGGCCCCGCCCCTATCCGCAGCCTACCCTCAGCAGCAGCAGCAATACCAGCCTCAGCTACTCGAGTCGCTGTCAGGGACACCCGGGAGCAAGGAGCTGGGGCCCAAGCCGTCGGCATCTGCGCCGGCTCCGGAGAAGATGAAGGAGATCATCAGGAAGCAGAAGGCCAGCGGCAGCTGGGAATGGAGCGACGCGGCCGCGCTCGTGGGCGTCACCGCCGACAAGCTGCGCAAGGCCATCCCCGCCGACAAGCTTCAGACCGGTACGTCCTCTCATATCTTCGGACCCGTTGCTCACGACACACACACGACACACCACACACGACACACACACACGACACATCATCTCATCACGTTTTGTTTATTTGTTATGCGCAGTGGACGCGGAGGTGGAGCAGATCTGGGCGACTGCGGTGGTGGCGGCGTTCCTGTCCACCAAGTTCCCCGACCAGAAGAACAACTGGGACCTGGTGGTGAAGAAGGCGCGCAAGTTCGTCGCCCGCGCGCACAAGAAGATCGTCAAGCTCAAGGACCCCTCGGCCGAAGTCGACTGGTTCCAGCTGGCCACCGCTTTCCTCGGTGCTTAGGCACAGAATGCAGAGAATGCGTCCCCTTTACCCACCTTTCTTTTTTTTTGTATTTTCTTTTTGGTAATACAGTTATCGGACCAGAGGTGATGTCGGGCGTGGAAGGGGGGGCTTCCGGTGCGGAGGCGGTGGTCAGGGAGACAATGATGCAGAAGAAGACGGGGGTGGTGGTATGCGTGCAGCCGTGGTTGGAGGATAGCCACTATGCCTCGGCAGCCACTTTCAAGCAGGCGCTGGCAGCCCTTCTCGCCCAGGTGGAACGACGCAGCGAGAGCACAACTGCCGAGGCCGACGATGAGGATGCGTGCCCGATGCTGGTCGTGTTCCCTGAGATGGTCGTGCTACACCCTTCATCCCACCCCACTCCTACCCTTCGCTCTTCTGACGTGTGCTCCCACTCATGAGCAGGTGGGCACCTGGCTCGTCGCCATGGATGAACTGCCAGCAGACTTCGAAGGTACCGCGCTTTGGCTGATTGGGTTTGGCCTCGGTCTTCTGCTCACACCCCGCATGGTTGAATGATGAAGGTGACTCGTCGGCAGCCATGGCGGTCGTGGTGCGCCGTCATCTGTGGAGCTTCGTGGCGCACCTCCTGCGCTCGTTTGTGCACGACCACTTCCGGTACACTTGAATGCGCGCGGGCCACTTGCCCATCTAACTGACATTTGTCGTTCTGCGCCAAACAGGTTTGGTCTGATGGCCCATGTGAAGCGTTCCCTGTTCAGATTGAAAGCTCACGGTACCGCCCGTCCCCCTTATGATGCGAGTTTCGAGCGAGTCTTACTGAACCTTCTGGCCGCTAGCAATGTTCAACACGTATCGGGAGGTGTTCAGCGAGCTGGCTCAGGAGCACGAGGCGTGGATTGTGGCGGGCTCGATCCTGCTACCACGGGTCAAGTACTACACGCAGGTGTCGGAAGGGTTGTCAGCCGCTGCCACGGACGATTCCTACGAGATGAGGAGACTGGAAACGAGGCTTTCCTCCCAGGGGCTCTACAACGTGTCGCTTTCATTCGCTCCCGATGGGAGCGTGTGCAACGTCACCCACAAGTGCCATCTCGACTCCAACGGTACTGCTTCATCCGTGAGCATCATGCGGTCACCTCTTCAACAATGCTCGCTTGTCCCTTCGCCCACGTTCCAACACTCACGCCAGAGCTCGAGTTCGTTGACTGCGCGCCAATGAGTGCCGTCCACTCCTTCTCCTCTCCGTTCGGCACAGTCGGCGTAGCCATCTGCGCCGATAGGTAACGGCAGCCGCCCCCGCCGCGGAATGCGAGCAACGCAGATCCCTTCCGAACTCACTGTGTGGTGACATTTGTGCTGCCCATAGTTGGTACCCCAAGACCTACGAGCGATTGCGGGAGATGGGCGCCGACATCGTTTGCGTCCCCGCATTCGTCACGCCGAACAGCACGTGGGACGCACCATGGGGCGGCTACAGCGGACGTTCACGCCACTTCCCAGCCGACGTCAACGCGTCTCACATCGGCAACTACAAGGTTCTCGCCACTTCCCTGCTCTGCTCTCACACAGCCAGTGATCTCATAGCTGGCATCGCTATGATGTAATAGGAGTCTGAGGCCTGGTCAGAGTACGCGCTACAGGGTCGTCTTCACGCCTCAGGCGCGAGACTAGGTCAGCCCACTCCGCTCAAAGGGACATTGCCAATTACTGCTGGCGTCTCATTGTTTGGTGGTGTGTGGGCAAGCAGGAGTGTGCTCTTACCTGGTGGGCAAGCTGTGGGAGATGACCGGCAGTGGCGAGTCTGCCATTGTGTCAGGCGATGGCCGTGTTCTGGCCAAGTCTGCCAAGGGCACGGAAAGCGTCCTCTCGTACGAAGTGGGCCTGCTTTGACCTGCGCTCATCACCTGCCAGCGCGGGCCACGTCACAATATTTGCGGACAAGAAGGGCAGTTTGCTTTGCCGCCTCCGCTCTTTTTGTTTCGTATCGCCCTCACCGCCAAGCCACAGCCGCCGGTCCTTGCCATGGGTGCGCCATCTCACTGCCTTTCCTCCCTTTGTGTGCCTTATCTATCCCCGTGATTGATTTGTTCAGTATCACTTGCGAACTTCTCCGGAGGTTATGACAACAACCTTACAAAGATGAGGGATTTTAGCTTTAATCATTATCTTGGGAAATCTTGTGAATTATCACTCATTCCTTCTCCATTTAGCAGGGAAGTGTCCGCAGCCAGTGGGCCAGCCAGTGGTGGTTTATGTGGGGGGGGGAGCTTGCACCAATAAAAAGAACAAAAAAGATTCGAAGAGATCCCGCCTTTGATGAAATGCAGATGAAAGAAGACAACAGTCCTTCCCGCTGCGGTTCGCTAATCGAAAGAACGGATTCGCCGGCGAATATGTTAACATTGAGGTCCCGGCTTCAGTGCGGATGGGCACTCCTTCCTTATGGGCCTGTGGCCCCCGAGTAGAAGCCAAGCTGGGCCGCAGTTGGGAGGGAGGTGCGCTCCGCCGTGGTGCGAAGAGGCGTTCGTCACCGGTTTCCTGATTGGGCAGTCCTCGTTAACTTCCTTGGCTCCGCGATCATTGGTTCGGTCGTGTGCGCAGCAACCCTCGTTGTTAGCTTGTGGGCTAGCCAAGAAGATGGACAAGACCCACACGAAGGGCAAAGCGGGCAAGGGTAGGGATATCAAGCCCACCCAGCTGGACCTCGAGGAATGCTGCTACACGAGCAGCACCGACGACGACACCATGTACAACCCATCATATGAGGAAGTGCCATCGGCACCCCGCCGCAATCCGCCCCCCTCGCCTCGAAGACCTCCTCCCCCTCCGTACGACCCCCTCCCCATCGTTTCAATGATATCCGTCTTCTTTATGACCCAAAAATTAAAATTGATTTTGCACCTTCTCCCTGCAGCGTTGCCACGGAGGGCGCCTACGAGGTGGTGCCGTCCGACCCTGAAGATGACGACGAGAGGCTGGTGCTTCAAAACTCCACGCAGTACTTCACTGCGCTCCTCGAGCCCACAACACGTACGTGGCCCGCCCCCTTCTCCCAATTACTTTTTTTCCCCCATCCTGGCTCTCTGTGTGGACTCAGGCAATGCAACAGCACCAGACGGGCGGCGAGCTGGTGCGGGGGTGCCACAACAACAGGTGGCGGGCCAGGAGGGATACGACATCTTCTGCCCCGAGGAGGAGGACGAGGAGGCGGGGCGGAGCGACGATGAAGAAGCACAGGGAGGCGGAAGGGAGGGCATTGCCCGTAGCCCCGTTCCGCCTCCTCAAGGGGGCAATGCCTACAACGTCTCGGACTACGAACGAGTGGACGGTGCGGCGGCCAACTCAAACAGTTACGAGGAAGTCGGTACGCAATACAGCCCCTTCGATTCCGACCGAGATCTGTACACGCTGCACTTACCGCACACTCACTGCGCACCCACAGCACCGGCCGCGCTTACGAAGCGAGATGCGCCATCGCCCAAGGGAACCTTCATATTGCTGTCGCCGCAGGGTCCCTCGGCCGACAAGAAAAAGGCGGAGAAGAAGACAGCACAGAAGGAAAAGAAGACAGGCAGCCTGTACGCACACAGACCTTCGCTTCACTTCCCGCCGCAACGTAGGTCTACAAAGCGACTGACTGATCGTGTGTGCCTTGGTAATGAGAACAGATGGAACAGCAATTTTCAACAACTGCTCAACATGGAGGACACGGAGAGCAAGTTTCACAAGCTGGCTTTTCTCGCTCACGACTTTCAGCACGCCGCTGAAGGTAATTTCCCTCCCTTTGCCTCAACCAGTTCTCTCGCAACAACAAGCGACCATCTCAACCTTTTTTCTTTGTCTCGTATGTGCATCCCAGTGTACGGAAAGATCATCATCAGCGAGCGGTATCTGCCATACGAAGAGAAGACACTCAAACCAGAGAAGGACATGGGGTACGCGTACCCGCCGCCAAGCATAGTCTTTTTTGTTTCGAGCTCGAGTGCCTGACTTGCCTGCTTTGATTTGGACCCCAGGGGACTGGCAGGAGGAGAGAAGTTTCTGTGTCGCGGCATCCTTCTCAAGTATGCGATCGATTCCCGACTTAAAAACGGAACATGGTACTTCTGCACTTCCGCCTCGTCCAACACACTAATAATAATGTAAATTACCAACGTTATCTCAGGATGTACGGCGAAAACGTTCCTGATGATGCGTCGGCGATGAAGTCAGCAGGTGCGTGCCAATTACCTATTTTAGTTGTAGTTTTTCCATTGGACACCACTAATCGTCTCTGCCACTAGGGCACGAGTTGCGCTGCTGTGGTCGTATTGTGGATTCGGGCGAAGCGTTCAATGAGGGCGTTCTCGTTCCTCTCATGACGGGTACACTCCCCCGCACCCACAAATCATTCAACCGCACTGGAGGTGCTGATATGTATACCTACGACAGTGGTGGACTACCGAGGGTTCCGACTCACGGCCGTGTCGATGCTTCCCGTATCGAAAGACACGATCTGCTACGGCTCGGCTGATGGCGGTAAGAGCGTGCACGCCGACTACCCCGAATACAACGAGCGGTATGTGTTCCCTCATCGCCATCATCGCGTTCGTGCTGTGAGAGACACAACGCTAAACTGTGTGATCGCTGCCGATGCAGATTTGAGCGGATCTTTCATCGCTTGAACCTGAAGGCGCACAGAGTGCGAACGCGGGTTTTGAGTGGTCCCGGTGACATCGAAGGTATGTACGCGCCGCATTGCATTGAGCTCGTGCGTGTTTGTGTTCGTAGCCCAACTCTCGCCCGCGCGCTTGCAGGTCATCTCGGCGAAGACGACAAGCTTTATCTGCTGGACTTTGCACGGTTGTATCCGCCAGGTGAGATTCCACCCCAAACCAATCGGGTCGACACCGAGGTGCTCTATTGCCTGTAACTGCTCACATCCGCTCTCTCGCCTCTCTGCAGAGAGCCCTATGGCGATAAAGGAAATTTTCGACACTCCGCACCCGCGTGCCATCTTCTACAAGATGCTGCGACCAGGTACGCCGCACAACCCCCCAATACCCCGTTTGCCATTTTGTGACGCCGATGCACGAATCTAATATGTCTATTGTGTGCGTCTCCTCGCAAAATAGAGCTGGTGCAATCCAACGTGAATCCACAGGGCCGACGCATTCCTCTCACCTCCGATGCCTACACGTACGCACAGAGTCGTGTTTCTTCTGTAAAGCGTTCCGCACGCGGCTAACGCTGTCGCAATCGTCGCCGTCAACTTGTTGCGTTTTGTGCCAGTGCCTGGCAAGCTGCAGACCCGAACGCCAAGGAAAACAACGCGGAGGTGACGGCAGCCACCTACCGCATATTGGACGAGCTCCTGCCCGCCCTCACCGACGATCTCGTCGCCAAGTGCTCCAGAGACGCCGACCGCTACATGGACCTGGTGCCTCACCTCCCCACTCACCTTCGCTTGCTTTCAGGCTTCACGCTTGGGGGAAACTTACATGGCTCTTGCAGAGGTCTGGCGCCGAGTGGCGCCCTCTCATGCCCTCGAGCTACATTACAACGCCGAGCGACTACCCGATCAACGCCAAGTCGTGCGGCGTGGATGTCGAAACGCTCAACAGACGGTTGATGCACATCCTGCACGGCATGCATTGGCGCGGAATCAACATGCGCTACCTGGGCGAAGTGAGGCACCGCCTCATGTCGAGCTTCGGCGACAACCCCTCCGATCGCATGTTCAACTCGCAGCTCTTCGTCGTCGTCGCGCTTCTCTACACCGAGGTACACTCGAGTGCTCTTCCTTTTCGTTCTCTCTTTCTCTCTTTCTCTTAGGTTGATAGATGACTCACCGCTGCGCTGATATTCCTTTGTGCCAGATGGTGGCACGTGTGGCCAAGAACATCATTCGTGCCATGCTGCGCGAGAAGATGAAGGAGCTCAAGGTGCCGTCGAGCGAGCCCTACAGGCAGCTGGTGTTGACCCTTCTCAACCTCTTCTCGGGGCACTCGGACAAAGCGCACGAGTTCTGGACCTCCAACAAAGCGCCCCCGATCGACGAAAAGGCCATCCGCGTCGGCAGTACCCACCCATTCCTCTTTCTTCGCTTTCGTTCTTTAACCTCCCCCCCCCGCACCAGTGTTCTGACGAGCTCCAATTCGCGAAGCTGTGGAGCAACTGCAGGGCGGGCTGGAGTACTACATCCACTTCGCGGCGCGGAGTCAGGAGGAGGAGAGAGGAGTGGACCTGTCTGAGTCCGCGATGGGCGGCTACTCGGAGTCGCTGAGCTCCGACCTGGAGGGCCTCCTGCCCATGAAATGTAATGCGCCACCTTCGCTTTCGTTCTTTACCCCCCCCGGGGGGGGGCTTGCTCTTTCGACCTCACCATGTCTCGGTCTTCCTTCGTTCTTTCCAGGCTGCGTCCGCGCCAAGTACGGCATGAATGCGCTCACGGAAAAGGAGTGGAACTCTTCCGGCCGACTCGAGCCCTTCCTCTTCCAGGGGATCTTCTTCAGGCACGCACCACCCACTTCCCGCTCGCATTACAATCTGATCTGATTGTGAGTTGGCTGGCAGGCGAGTGTGCGAGATGCTCAACATCATGCTCGCCGACGAGCCGCGCATCTTTGAAACCCTCAACTGCGACCTGCCGCCACCCGAGCCTCGGCCCTACGAATTCATGGACCCGCACTTGAAGGACCTGGGCGTCAAGGTTTGATCTCACCACACCCTAACCCTGACCGGCGCCAATCGCAATCTTATTTGGCCGTCGCGTCTGTGCATGTGGCAGGTCAAGCACATGCACCTGGTGTCGTCGTTCGAAGGCTTCGCGCTGTACCGTCAGGCGCTCAAGCTTCGACAGCAGCTCAGCGACACCAAGGAGCCCGCCCAGTACCTTACGCTCCGCGAAAAGATCTTCCGCCTCCTCAGCTTCGCCAAGGAGAAGCTCGAGCTGGCCACCTTCAGCATCCCTGTACCGACCCCTCCTCCTCCCTGGCTACAGTGGCAGCGATCTCGCGTTGGACTTACGCACTCATTGTTTTTTTTGCATTCCTTGAATTCTCTGAATAACAGGACAGCGTGGAGACGCTGATACACCTGGGCAAGGTGGAGGCCTGGCTGGCCGCCAATACCGTGGCTGATGAGTCTGGACGATCCCTCATTCAGTACCAACACCACACGACCCACTACACCCCGCAGCCCGTGTTCACTCCTCGCACCGGCACAGAATTAACAGCCTCCCCCCAATTTTTTGTTCAACGCAGGGACGGATTTCAGGCGGCGGTGAAGTACCTGGGCCAGGCCTGTCTGCTGCTGAAGCGCAAGGCGCAGACGGAGACCGACTACCAGCTCGGCGTGAAGCAGTGGCTCAAGGCCGTCTGCGACCTTGCGTTGGTGGTGTGCCAGTGGTCCGTGGCCGCATCCAAGGACACTGGCTACCGATCCAAGGGCGAACGACAGATCGATCTCTGGGAAAGGTACCGCACACGCAAACACGCACACAACACGCACGCACACACGGCAAACACACGTGATATCGCTCTAACTCGCTCCGTCTCGATGGTAACAGAGCGATATCGCTGTACTACTTTGCCCTGTCGTTCCGCGACTACCGACAGGAGCTGATGAAGGAATGGAAGCAGGAGGCCTGCGCGGCGAGCCTGATCAGCGATGACGAGGCCGCCGTACCAGAGCAAAGCCAGGGCGTGAGCGGCCTCGGCGAGGTGCGGCACGTCGAGGAGGTGGGTCAGCTGGCCTCAATGCTCATCAAGTACCAATGCGTGCGGAAGCGGCGCGAGATCGACTTCGAGGGCGACAGCTTCCAGCGCAAGGCTGACAAGTCGCCCACCACCGACGAGCGAAAGAAAAGCGGCAGCGGCAGTGAGGTCGGGACAAGGGTGGTGGACATTTCCGCCGGCGCCGCCGGCACCGAGAAGAAGCCTGCATCGCAGGCTGTCAAGATGAAGCAGCTGGCCGAGCTGAGCAACCTGCGGATGCGCAGCTTCTCCCAGTCCGAGGTGCAGGGGGTCGCCGCCGCCGGTCCACCCGGGCAGGCGTCGCCGCAGCCCTTGTCGCCCGGCGCGGCGGGCAAGCTCGTCAACACCTCCAGCAAGACAGCCTTCGCCGAGAGGAGAAAGAGTACTCTCATAGACCCACTTGGCCTTCATCTGTGTGACACCCGGCACCTAATCTCCACACACGGCACACACACCACACACCACACCACACACCACACATCACACACACACTCGACTCCTTGGACACACAGCGTCGGTGTTGGACCTCTCAATGGACGCGGTGAAGTCGGGCTACCTCATGCATTTCTCGGAGAAGAACAAGAAGTGGAAGAAGAAGTGGCTCATGATGTTCCAGCTTCCACCCGTCATCAAATACTTCAAGAAGAAGAGCAAGGTACCCACCACCAGCCACCGCCACCACCGCCACCACCGTGTGCTAACTGGTCGTCATGTGCGTGGGCTCATCGGTCGTTGCCCTGTGTAGGACAAGGAGGAAGGCACGGTCGACTTGCCGGGGTGCTCCTGCGAGCGCATCGAGGCCAGTTCAGGCAGCCACAAGTGGACCTTCCGGTGCGTTCTTGTCACCTTTGTTTTCTGTCGATTCGTGCTGACGTCATGGCACACACACGACACACGGCACCAAACCACAGGGTGCATCATCCAGTGCGCAGCACGGTTGTATTTGCCGCTGAGTCGGAGAAGGAGATGCAGGAGTGGATCGAGGCCATCCGGCAGGTGATCGTGTTCGTGGCAATGAAGCACGACAGCAGCGCGCGAGCGCCCGTCGGTCTCGGCGCCATGTCCGAGCAGGGCAAGCGCTCCAGCTCCATGATCTCCATCTCGGATCTCCAAAAGGTGATCTCCTCTTTTTGTAGACGTGTGCGGTTGTGCATGCCGTCGTGTGTGCAGTGGTGCGTGTGCGTGTGCGTGTGCGACCTACGAGGTGTGGCGCTGATGCACGAACAGGGCCAAGCTTTGGGGCGGTATGCCGATAAGCTCATCGCGTTGCGCACTTCTCAGTCCAAGTATCTGGCTTTCTCGCCCACCGAAGGCAAGCTCGTCATCGGTTTGTCCGCCTTCTTTTCTTTCATCACTTCATTACCCTCATCGTTGTTTAAATACTCACCGTGACACACACGCACACACACACACACACACACACACACACACACACACACACACACACACACACACACACACACACCAAATTCAGACGCCGCCTTCAGCATCAACTGCATGTTCATGGTGGAGCCCCGGTCGTCGAGTACCGCGAGCGACACCGTGTACCTGCGGCACGCCTCCGGCAAGTACCTGGCCGTGAGCAGCGCCAGCGAGGCCTCGCTCGTGGGCATCCGCACCAACCTGGCCAGGATCGAGTGGGAGTGGAGCCACACGCTCGAGAAGAACACGATCGCGCTGCGCTCGCTGGTCACCGGCCGATTCCTGTCGAGCGAGAAGAACCTGGTCAAAGCCGACAAAGAGCAGGCGCGGGCCAACGAGAAGTGGCAGGTGGAGAAGCTCGACAACCTCGTGTTCCTGCGGTCGTCGCTGGGGGCCTATATGGGCTCCCGGCCCAGCGGCAAGCTCAACGTGCTCGCGCTGGCCCAATCGACGCCCACCAGCTGGTTCGCCGACTATCAGCCCGACAAGAAGCTCACCCTCCGCTCCTACCAAGGTCCGCCACGCGACTTCACCACCGCACACGCACACGCACCACCGCACACGCCCACACAGAAGCTCTCGTTGATACGTGTGCAGGTCTCTACCTGGCGCGGAGTGCTGAAGCGTCTGGTGAGAAGGAGGAGCTCGCCACGCGAGAGGCACCCTACGTGTGGCAGTACGAAGAGGTTGCCGACAAGAAGGACAACACCTGCTGCGTCATCTCCACCTGCGAAGGCGACAAGGTTCGTCGCCGCACAATTGCTTCACATGCACCGCACCGCACGACACGCACGACACGACACGACCAAGCTCATATCGTTGCGGTGGGCGTGCAGAAGTATCTGTCGGCCACGTCCAAGGGCGGCCTGTGGCTAACGCCGACCAAGCCCGCAATTGGGTCGCGCGCGATCTTCAGCGAGTCGCCGCTGTGGACGCTGTGTCCGCCGCGGGCCAAGGAGCTGCACACGGTGAGCCAGCTCGAGGTGCAGCTGGAGCAGTGGGCGGGCAAGGACATGAGCACCTTCCTCAACATCCTCCTGCAGAAGTTCATGACCTCGCGCGCCAGCTTCCTCTCTGGTGACGCCCTGTTCATGGGCTGATTTTGAGGCGCACAAACCAACAACCCTGTTTCCCAGCTTTTTCTTGGTTTGCAAGGGTCCTGAAATCAGTTCTTTCTGTTCCCTTCCCTGTGTGCAACACAAGCCGAGAAAAGACGATCGAGAGAGGATGGGCAAGGGAGCGGAGAGGAAGAAGAGCTGGAGAAGCAACAAGCGAGACCAGGGCTGGCCGTGGACAGCGATCGACGGGAGTAGAGGCAGCAGGGGTGGTGGCGGCGGCGGCGGTGGTGGTAAAGGCTCGTCGTGCCTGCGCTCGTGTGCTTGTTGTTTCTTTATTCTGCTGGCGGCGCTGGCGGTGGCCGTGACGGTGGTGGCGCTGGCATCCTCGCCTGCCCTCAAGAGCCATGCCGATGATGCGGTGGAGGAGCTCAAGAGCCGTGCCGATGTTGCGGTGGAGCAGCTCAAGAGCTACGTCGACGCTGCGATGGAGAAGATTCACGACCTCACCGCCAGCCGCTCGCCTAGCCCCCCACCCCCTACGAAGATTCAGATGTAGGCGACGGCCCTCCTCACTTTTATCGAAGGCAAAATTGAACCAATGAAAAAGTGACACGTCAGCTGCGAGATAGCGTGATTGATTGAAATCTTTCGAGATCGCGAGTTTGTGTAGCACTGCCAATCTCAAACGGCACCATGTCCAAGGCCAGGGGAAGAAGAGGAAATGTGCCCGAGGTGGCGCTGATAGATAAGGAACACGCCTTCATTCTCGAAATTGAGAGATGGTAACTGAGCCGCGCCCGATTGTCAAGACAAGATTAATGTAATCTAATTTTTGCTGCGCCTGTCGTGTTTGCAGTAATTCCTGATCCATCTATCGAACTTGTGCCAATGGAATTGCTGCCGTTCTGGAGCAAGCCTTTCCTGCCGCGCAAGGTCATCTCCTCCCCTCTACTCAAACACGGCAGTGCGTTCTGACTTCTTGGCGTGGCCCGCAACAGTTCAGCATAACCCCAGCGGGAAGCCTCGCAAGGTTCCCCCTTCGGATTGCGGTGCTGTGTGGGGCTCTCTTGCTCATGTGTTGATATCTCTGTGTGTTCCCCTCCAGGGGTCGTTTGAAGTGGTGAAGCGGCAACATGAAGAAGAAGAAGAGGACGAGGTGCTGCTCTTTTCGAAGCTGGACACCTTCGGGCCGGCCAAGAACAGAGCCCACCTGCCCGCACTGCTCGACGTCCTCGAACTGGTCAAAGCCCAGCTGGGCCTCGGCACCACGCCGCCGGGCAGCGACGAGAAGGAGCGAAAGGAAGAGGAGGAGCCGACGAGCGGTACGAAGAAGCGGAAGCGGACCGATGCCTGCAAGGACGAAGATGAAGAGAAAGAGAAGGGCGATGAAGGGGAGAAGCCGGCGCCCAAGCCCAAGCGAGTGGCGAAGCGAACCCGGCGCGAGCCAGCCGTCGCGAACTAAGCGGAGGCCCACCACGCTCGTGAATCCAGGGATCTGGGCAGCCTGTCCGCGGCCGCCTTCGTCTTCGCTTTTCCGGGTCTCCAATGAAGGCGCTGTGGGAAAGCCATCGACACTGGCGCCACAGCACCTGAGAACAACGACCCCCCGGTTCAGCAAGGCCGAAGGCGCCGCCACACAGCGCACCGCACCTTGGCCAATTCATAAAGGAAAAAATAAAATTATCATTTTCTCGACCTGAAATTCAGAAATGTTAAAAGAAAAAGAAAAGGTGTGTCTGATTTCACATTTCGATTATTAATCTCATTTTTTGGAGCGAATCAAGCAGAGGGGGGAGAGGTGGTGAGGAGAAGAGCAAAACATGCAATCGCAAACGCAGGCAGAGGGAGGGTCGGTCACCACGCCGAGAGGAAAGAATGCTGCCGACGCCGCACCGCCCAAGCTCGGCCTTCTTCCCTCACACCGCCGAAAAGTGGCCTTCATCGCCAAGATTGGCGCCATCGCCCAGAAGATTCCCATCGATCAGGTCCTGATTGCCCCCCTCATTATTTGCACTCTCCTCGATTTCGAACTTCGTTTGCGTTTCTACTCTGACCTTCCAGGGGTGTCTGCTCGTGCAGTTCGTGCACTGGGTGGTGGACGAGGTGTGTGGGCGGCAGCCCGACTGGACGAAGCCGTTTGGCGAGGCCAACGCGCAGCCCATGATCGACGCCGTCAAGCTCTTCGTCATCAAGGCCGTCGGCGGCGGCCTCAAGAAGGACGACGTACGCGTCTAAGCGCCGCTAACCTTCTTCTCTTCTAATGTCGACATCAGCGACCATCGCTCACCGACGACTTTCCGCTGCAGATCGTGCGGGAGCTGAAGGGGTTCAACGTGGCCGACGAGCATGCCACCGTCATCGTCGATTGCATCCTCGTGCGGTAGTCACCACACCACACCACAGCTCACTACTCAATCCCCTTTCTCATCGCCGCCTCATTCTCACGTGTGCGGTGGTACGTGTGTCGTGCGTGTGTGTCGTGCGTGTGCCGTGCGTGCGGCGTTCAGATACACTGACGTGCAGAAGGCCCTGGCTGGGGACACGGCCCATATATCGCCGGCCCACCTCAAGGACTTTGACTGGAAGCTCCTGGTACTCACCACCACCCACCACCGCCATCGGTACTCCCACGCATGCGCTTGGCTCACTTTTCTTGGATTGCAGCACTCGCTGGCCAGCGACAAGGTGGCGACGGTGAACGAACCCATCCTGCGCCTCAACCTCACCATCAAGTACCCCCCCCCCGAAACCCGCTGCTGTCTTCCCTTTCGCAACGCTCACTCACACCATTCCCCCCCCCCAATCGACTGCGCTGTCGTATGTGTGAAGGGACGAGAACGAGAAGATGAAGGACGTGGTGCTCGAGCTGCCCAAGTCTGAGCTCGACAAGCTCATCGGCACCCTCCAGCAGGTCAACCAGGTACTACCACCACCAAACCTACCCCCCCTTCCCCCACTCTAGCTGCAGTTCCGTTCTTCTCACCACTTCGCACGCTTCTGGCAGGTGGTGCAAAAGCTGCGCGTGTAACACGGCCTTTTCGCGCGCATCAAAAGGAGGAGGAGGAGAAGAGTGTAAGCAGTAGGCGTACCAGGCTGGACGGAGAGAGAAGAGAGAGAATCACGACTGCCGTGGTCAAGGTATTTATTTATTGGTCCGGTGGTTCGTCCGTTGCCGCATCGGTTTCATGCTTCGTCTTGTGCATCACCAGCATTTGTGTCGAGAAAGAGAGAAAAAAGAAGATGAAAGGAAAGGAAAGGAAGAGCCGATCGATGGTACAGGTGAGAGGAGAGAAGAAGGTGGTTTACTCGTCGGGGATGTACTCCCGCACGCTCTCGTTTTTCGTTCTCTGGACCAACGAGAGCAACTCGCGGGGATCGCACGCCAGCTTGAGGAACGGATGCTGTTGTGTGTGCCGTGAGTGCGTGTGACCACGGTCAGTGGCTGACGCAAGTCGATGCAACGAGAAGGAGTGCGCGTACAGAGAGCATTTGTGTGGAATCGGGACGGAGAGAGGGGTCCATGATGGTGCACTTCTCGATGAAGTCCTTGAACTGCGCCGACATGGCGTCGGGATCCTTGAACGGCGGTCGACCCTTCTTGGCGATCAAGAACAGCGCCTGCACACGAAGTGGGAGCACCAACGGACGTCAGCAAATGCAAATGCAAATGCAAAAAAGCAAAAAGCAAAAACAAGGAGAGAGAAGCGAAGCGGGTGAACAAAAAGAACGAAGCCGGGGGAGAGAGAGAGGAGGTGCCTTGAGCATGGACTCCTCGATGTAGGGAGGCGCGATTTCGAACATCTCCATGGCCATGATGCCGAGGGACCACACGTCGACCTTGCACGTGTAGTGCTGGCCCTTGACCAGCTCGGGCGCCATCCAGAAGGTGGTACCCACCACTGACTTGCGCGTGTCCTGCGCCGACGACAGCTGCGAGCCGTAACCGAAATCGGCTGTGTGTGTGTGTGTGTGTGTGTTAGCACTCGCGCGCACGTTTGAGATCTCTTAACGTGGTGAGTGGCTGCGTACTGATCTTGATTTCACCGCCCAGGCCGAGCAGCACATTTTCGGACTTGATGTCCCTGTGGATGATGGGCTTGGGTCGGTTGTGGAGGTACTCGATGGCCTCAAGCGTGGACTTGGTAATCGCCGCGATCTGGGGCTCGGTGAGCCGGATGCCCAGCGTGAGGAGTTCGGAAAGAGAACCGCCGTCCACCAGCTCCATCACCACCTAACCGCCAAATCGCACATCAGCAGCGCCCAAACAGCACGCGTGTGCGTGTGCGTGTGCGTGTGCGGTGGTGCGTGTGTCGTGTGTTTCATGCGTGCGTGTGCGGTGGTGCGGAAGCGATACCCAGAGGATACCGTCGACGAGGAAGGCGTCGACAAAGTTGACGATGGCGGCGTGGGTGGACTGCTTCATGATCATGATCTCGTTGATGATGATCTCCTTCTTCACCTGCTTGGCCACCACCATCTGCTTGATCGCCACCTTCCTGCCGGTGCGCTTGTCCGTGGCCGAGTACACCGCTCCCGACGCTCTGTGTGCCCCCCCCCCCAATCGCCATGTGAGCCCACGCGCGCTGCAAGAAGCACGTGCGGCGTGTGCGGTGTGTGCGGTGCCAAGTACCCCTGGCCCACGATGGCCATGTCGGTGAAGAGGGTGGTCGGGTCGACTCCCTTGAGCACCAAGTCGTCGATCTCCACTCCTGCGGTGGGCGACTCATCGCTTCTGCACCGTGCACGCACGACACGCACCCGTTAGAGCAAAGAAAGAGGCCAGAGGGGCGAAACGGGGGGGGGGCAGGGTACCCGCCGGCGGGCGGAGGGGCGCCTTGGCCGGGCGGAGCGGGGCGGCCGGAAGGCGAGGGCGGGGCCGGACGCCCCGAAGGCGACGGCGGCACCGGTCGTCCACCGGGACTCTGTGCCGAGAGATCAGCGTGTGTCGTGCGTCGTGTATCGTGTGTCGTGGGGGGCGTACCCCTGTGGCGATGGGAGGCTGGGGTCGCGATGACATCGGAGAGCCGGGCGCGGCGGGTGTGGCCGGAGGCAGGGGCCGTCCGCCGGGCGACGGCGTCGGCCGGCCTAGCGGTGCTGTGTCGACAAACAAATGTGGGGGTTTGGGTCATCAAGGGTCCCCACGAGAGGGGGAAGCGATGGAGGGGGGGGGAGAGAGCGTACTACTGGAGGGCGGAGTGATGGGCGGAATCAGCACCGACGCGGGGCGCCCGACCGGCACCTGCGGCTCATCCCTGCAGACGAGCGAGCGAGCAAGCAAGCGAGCGAACACGAGAAAAAGTGGTCAGAAGGGAAGCCCTATTACTCAACGAGGCTGCGCCAAGCAAGGGGGCCTGGGCGAAGTACCGTGGTGGCGGGGGCGGGAGGTCCCGGTCGGCGGGGGCCTGCTGGAAGGCGTGCGAAGGGCGCGGCGAGAGGGGCGACGGCGGGGTGGCCCCAACGGCGCGCAGGGAGCTGGGTCCGCCGGGGCCGGGCATGGCCCTGCCGGGCGATGGCGGCACCACGCCGCGGGGCGAAGGCGCCGGTCGGAGCGGTGGAGTGAAGCCCGCGGGACCGCCCGCGCCGGGCGGCGGAGGCAGGCCGCGGTCGGCGGTGGTCACCGGTGCGTCTGCGGTGCGAGGCAAGGGGGGCGGCGGCAGGCCGCGGTCGTCGTAGTCGTCGCCCTCGAGCAGCGGCGCGGGCGGCAGGGGCGGCAGAGCGCGGTCATCCGGTGACCCAACAACCGGCGGCACGCGCTGGCTGAGGGACGTGGGACGGGTGGCCCCATCGCCCGTGAGGCGCTGGTTCAGAGAATGCGGGCGCGGGGAGAGGAGCCCGGAGGGCGGGGGCAGCGCCTGGGCGGCGTTGGTCAGGCCGCGGGGCGACGAGGCCACGGGCAGCCGCGGGACGGACGCGGGAGAGTTGCGGGGCGAGGCCGAGCCTGTTGTGCGCCCGTCGACATCAGCGTGCGCGTCGTTGGTCGTGTCGTGGTGCGTGTCGTGTCGTGTCGTGTCGTGTGTCGACAGGCACGGAGGGCGAGGGTACCGGCCTGGGGCGGAGGCGGGACGGGCGGGAAGGCGGCAGGGGTGATGCCGCGGCGCAGGGTCGCCATACGCTGCTGGATGGCGCTGCCGGCGAGATTGGCCGGTCGCTCCGGCTTGTTTCTGTTGTGGTGTATCGTATGTGTCGTGTCGTGTGTCGTGTGTGTGTCGTGTGTGTGTCGTGTCGTGTGTCGTGTAGGTTGGGCATCAGTCTACAAAAACCACCGGTTGTCGTCGTGCGGGCGCGCGTACTGTTCGAACTGCATGACCTTGAACACGCTCACGAGCATGTCGGCATCCTCGGCGATTTCCTGGGCCGACAGACCCGCCTGACCCAACATCACCTTCCACTCTTGCGGAATGCCCTAGGAATGTATGCACAGCACAACACATCGCACGCACTCGTCAGAGGAGGAGGAAGAAGGCGAAGATGACGATCATGATGGTAAAGAAGAAGAAGAAGAAGATGGTGGTGTGGTGATGGTGATGCGTGTGAGCAAGGGATCCGAGCGTATATATGTTACGGAGTTGGTAATTAATGGTTTGGTGGTGATCGCCCAGTCAGGAACGCCCAAGAACCAAAATAATAAAAATAAATAAAAGCACACACCACGCACTCGAGCACGCTCCACACTCGCAACCGCACGAGGCCAAGAACAAGAAGGAGAAGGGGACGGAGTAGAACAAGAAGAAGATGAAGGTGAGTGGAAGGCGAAGGTACCTCGAACATGCCGGTGTCGGGGTTGAAGCCGATATGCATCTCGCGCTTGAAGTTGGTGGGGGTGCCGATGACGCGGCCGACCATGGGCTCGTCCTTGCCCCCCTTCTTGTCCTTCTTGGTGCCCTTGGCCTCCTTCTTCTTGGCCTTCTCCTCCTCCTTCTTCCGCTTGGCCGACTGCTTCTCCCACTCCTTCTTCTTGGCCTTCTCCTCCTCCTTCTTCCGCTTCTCCTCGGTCTCGCGCGCTCGCTGCTGCTCCTTCTCGTAGAACTTGCGCCGGTCCTCTTCGTTCAGCGAGTAGGGGTCCACCACCTTCGTCTTCTTCGACATCTTTCTTCTTCTTCTTCTACGCGACCGAATTGATCTCGATTCTTCTTTTCGATAATGATTGTCTCAATCTCCTCGTTCCGTCGATGGGCGGGGGCGAAGCTATTATAGAATAAATATAAATAATAAGTAATAAATATATAACTTTACAATTAGCCCTCAGGATCTCGTCGCAGTGTTGAATTGCACTACACGAGTCAAATAAATCACACATAAAAGGACGTCAGCGATTGCCATCTTCCTCACCACGTAGGACTGGCAGGGGAGTACCGTGAGACGCAGGACCAAGGGATGGAGCGAGTGTCGAGGGCGTCGCGGAAACAGACCAGTGCCTCCTGGTTGCCTACAATATTATTATTTAATTTGCTATTATTTATTTGAATGTGTCGACATTATTAGTCACCAGGGCCACCCGATCATCACGCCACACGCGCCCTTCATTGTGGGGTGTTTGTGTGTTGTGTTGTGTGTGTTGTGTGTGTGTTGTGTGTGTGTGTTTGTGTGTGTGATGATATTAGTTGTGGCTGTGTCGTATTGATCGGTCACCCGTCTCTGGATTAGCCCTCATGCTTGCATCTCTCCCTACAGTCCATCGCCGCAGAGCCTGGAGGAGGCGCGCGCGCGAGACCGGCTTGGAGAGGTAGTCGTCCATCCCCGCGGTCAGGCACTTCTCCTTGTCCTCCTGGGTGGCCCCCGCCGTCAGCCCGATTATAGGTACTTGGTTCATCTCCAGCTCCCGGATCTTGAGCGTTGCTGTGAGCCCATCCATCACTGCCACCACCAACCACCACCACCCAACCACCACCACGGCCGTCAGAGGAGCCAATGTCTCGTCATGATGGGACATGTTGGATGTACCGGGCATCTGTACGTCCATGAGTATAACATCAAAGTGAGTAGTGCTGACCTTCTCGATTGCTTCGACCCCATTGTTGGCAATCTGTCGCAGAATGGATATTGGGGGGGAGGACGATTGGTGATTAACAGTGGTGGGGGCGGCCCCGAGGTTGAGTGCCAAGTGCGCACCTGAATATTGTAGCCCAGCGGCGCGAGTTGGCGACAAATCACCTTCTGGTTGACTATGTTGTCCTCCACCAGCAGAATATCTAGTGTGTGTGTCAAAGCATGAGAGTTGTGTGAGCACAGTACAGAATCCACAGATGAAGCTTGTGAATGCGTCTGGAGTACCGAGAGGCTTGTGAGCCACTTCGACCGGCCCGTCGGCTTCTGCTCGCTCTGTTTCCCTGAGCTCTTCCTCCGATTCTCGCGCAGGCTGGTCAAAAGGCAACAAAATGTAGAACGTCGTCCCCTTCCCCGGCGTACTGTCCACCCACAGCCACCCGTGCATCATCCTGAAAAGAGAAACATGAGGAAGAAGTGGAGGAGGAGGAGGAAGCGAAATGAAACAAGAGGGAATGCGAACGTGACGAGCTCGGAGCAGATCTTGAGCCCCATCCCCAGGCCGGCGTACTTCTTGGTGTGCACCGCATCGACCTGGTAAAAGGCGTCGAAGATGTGAGGCAGCTTGTCGGCCGTGATGCCGATGCCCGTGTCCGCCACCGAGAACAGCACCCACCGCTGCTGCTGCTGTTCCATATCGTCCGACGATCGACCTAATCGCTGATAAACGTCGGTCGTGGGCAGCGAAGCGGTGAAGGTGACGCGGCCGCCGCGCGAGGTAAACTTGAAGGCGTTGCCCAGTATGTTGTCGAGCACCTGGGCCAGCCGGTGCGTGTCTCCTACGACGATGTCGGGCAGGTCGGGGCTCAGGCTGACGTCGAAGTCGACGCCGTGTGACTCGGAGCTGTGCGCGAAGCGGGACCACAAGTGCTCCAGGTCTTCGCGCAGCGAGAACCGCGCCGGGGCAGATCTCGAGCTTGCCCTTCTCGATCCGCACCACGTCGAGCAGGTCGTTCACGAGGAACAGCATGTGCTCGGCCGATCGCTTGGCGATGTGCAGGTTGTCCCGCTGGTCTGGGGCCATAGACGTAGAGTCCAGCAGCTCCAGCATTCCCAGGACCCCCTGCAGCGGCGTTCGTATCTCTGCATTCCCCACACGATCACACACACACACACATACACACAATTGTTTAGAAGAAAAGGAAGGGACAACAAGAAGAATAATGTGCATACCATGGGAAACGTTGGCGAGGAAGAGGGTCTTGGCGGTGCTGGCCTCCTCGGCCATCTGGCGGGCCTTCTCGAGGTGCTCGAGGGCCTGGCGCTCGAGCGAGATGTCCTCGACGATGCCCACCACCCGCGGCTCGAGGCTGTCGGCCGTGTTCCATATCTTCCAGCTGCGGTCGCGCAGCCACCGCTCGTGGCCCGTCTGGGCGTGCACCACGCGAAACTCGCACACCTGCGCGTCGTCGGCCCAGCTCGACCAGCCGGCGTGGGCCTGGGACAGTAGCGCGCGGTCGTCCGGGTGAACGCCGACGAACCACAGGTCGGGCTCGAGCAGCAGTCGGGCGGGCGGGTAGCCCCAGAAGGTGGCGAAGCGCGCTGGCGTAGTGGAACTCGGCCAGGCCGGGCGTGGCGACGTAGACCATGGCGCGATGTTGTCGGTGACCTGGCGGAAGAGCAGGTCGGACTTCTTCATGGCCAGCTCGTGCTGACGTCGCTCGAACTCGGCCGACGCGCGGCCGGCGAAGATCTCCATCATCGTCTCGGCGCGCTCGGCGTCGCAGATGGGCTTGCGGCTCATGAGCACCATCAGGCCGATCACCTTGCCCGACGAGTAGAGCGGGCGGCCGACGTAGCTCTCCACCCCGAGATCCTTCAGCACCTCGTCCTCTGGAAACATCGCCTGCACGCCCGACCGCAGCGTGCGCGCCGACTGCTTCACCACGCCCTCGCACGGCGATCCGTCCAGATGGTATTCTGCCCATCAATCAATAAATCATCCACGCAGCTTTTGGCTGATTTAAATTAGTAGAGATGTACCGATGTTGGGCACGGGCTGGCCGTCGATGAAGGTGGCGAGGGTGCGGATTGAGTCTGCGCGCTTGGGGTGGAGCTCGCCCACGAGGCCGAGTTCCATGCCCGACGCACTGGTGAGATGTCGCACCAGCTGCTGGAAGAAGTCGTCGGCCGACGTGGCGGTGAAGCCCAGCGCCACCTCCTTCAGCAGTTCCTTGCTCTTCTTCTCGTGCGTCACATCTCGCCCCAACGCCCATTTGCTCCTGCCCCCGCCATTCTCGCAATTAATTGCTTTTATCCGATCAAATAAAATCAATTACTAATCACATAATAAATAAGTGGCGTACCAGCATCGTGTCGTGAAGATGCTGCAGGAGAACCACGAGAAGGTGCGCCGTGATCTGTCGCGGCAGGTGACGTGCCACTCCCAGTCGAAGTAGAGGGTCATGCGGCTGCGCGCCTCCCACTCGGCCCGGACGCGTGCGCAGTCATCTGGGTCGGGGAAGAGGCACCCGGGGTCGCGCCGCACCTCGGCCGCCGTCCACCCGGTCAGCCGCTCGCACTCCTCGCTCCACACCGCCACCCGCCCCTCGCGGTCCAACGCCACGAACAGACCCGGCAGCCTCCGCGCTCTCCGCTCCATCAGGACAGCGTGCCTGGGGCTTGGGCTTGGGCTTGGGCGGTCGTTCGCGTGAAGCTGATGGACCGAGAAGCGTCGTTGTGTCTTCTTGGCCCTTTGAGTCGGGCAGCCAGAGAAGCGCAGGGACCGTCTTCGCTTCCGGCCGCTGCGTGCCTCCTCTTCCTGATGCTGCTGCTCCGAGTTGGGGCCGGACAGATGCCATGAGACGTCCATCGCTCGCTCTCCAGGGCTCTGTGCTCCTCTTGTGTAGTTCGTCGTCTTCTTCTCTTCGTTGTTGCTTGGGTAAGCTCTTCTTCTAAGGTTCGTCTTCTTCTATTTGAATTTGTTGTTATTGTTGTTGTTTGGCTCCTGACCTAGATTTTGGAAGCGAGACCAGATCTGCGGGACAAACCCCACCGCCTTGCCATCAGGCGTCTTCCTTCCAGCCGAAGTTTGGGTCCATGGAGGCACCGTGCTATCCCGCCTTTCCCAGTTAAGCTCTCGATCACGCAAGGCCGCGTGTGCCTGGGAGCCGTGGTATGCATGACATCACAGACAATGATAACCCGACGTCCAATCTCCCAAGTGTTCAGGTGCCTGACGGACGAGTGTTAGCCGGTTAGTCGTCAGCACTGAATGTAGTTCGTTAATTGAGTGCTGCAGCACTGGTGGACCGCGCATGATTGGATCGGATCATCAACGTAGGTAATGGAGGACATCCGTAGGACAGCCAGAGTCTAGCCCACGGGATAACTCAGCGCTGAGCACACCCTACCAAACCAGGATTTTGTCACCTTTAGTACCCCCTTCTCCCCCCCCCAAAAGGAACAGTGGATATCCACAGGACATCCCTACGTCTGGCCCGCAGGATGTCCCATGACTGGGTCACGCACTAACCAGCCCTGGATAACAAAAGGCTGTCCTTGGGATATCACACCAGCAAGAAGCGAGAGGGCAGCCACCAGTACGTGTTTCCCTCTTTTTCGCCCCTAGCCACACAGCTAAATGAGTCGGGAAGGTCATGACTACAGATCGGCCACACGACCAGCTGGCGGCGAGTTTGGTGCGGGGGCAGCTGCTCTACCCTGAAGACCCTGGCTACGACCGCGCCCTCAGCACCTGGAACCTCCAGGCCACCAAGAGGTTGGTTTGCACCATCACCACGTTCCCACCACTCCTGCAAAACCCCCACCATGCTGCGCCTTCTCACCTTCTCCATTGCAGACCTGAAGCTGTGGTGTCGGCTCGCGGGCCAGGCGACATCATCGCGACCATCAAGTCCGTGTTTCGTGTTTCGTGTTTCTTTTCCATTCCCACCCTGGAGCGGCACTGACCTCAGAGTGCTCTTTTGCAAACAGGTATGCCAAGGCCAAAGGACTTGAGATGACCGTCAAGGCGGGCGGCCACAGCATGTCCAGCCTCTGCACCGGCCTGGTCATCGACTTCAGCCACGTAGAGACATGTCCACCACCCTGCTTCTGTGCATCGCTCATCAGTTCTCCACCGCCATCAGATGAAAGGCATACGAGTGGACGTCGAGAACAAGACTGTGCGCGTCGAGCCGGGCTGTTTGCTGCGTGACCTGGACGCTGAACTGTCTGTGCACGGACTCGTGGTCCCTGGAGGTACTCCTACGCCACCACTGCCAACCATGACCACTACTAGTAGTGGCCGCGTGCACTTACCAACGAGCAATGAATGACCAGGGGTGGTGAGCCACACGGGCGTGGCGGGCCTGGCGCTCGGTGGAGGCTGGGGCTATCTGGGACGCTGCATGGGCCTCACCTGCGACAACATCCTTTCCGTGGACATCGTCACCGCTGACGGCCAATTGCGTACCGCCTCCAAGACTGCCAACCAGGTGACACTCACCCGTGTGCAGACAGACACACACGGCAATCCCGTTTGCACTTTGTCTCACGTCACTGTCTCCTTCCCTTCTTCGTCGTCCAGGACTTGTTCTGGGCCGTGCGTGGGGCTGGTCCCAGCTTTGGTGTGGTGACGTCGTTCAAGTTCCGCTGCCACCCGCTACCAGGCCCGGTCTACTGCGGAGTCATGATGTACCCCTGGTCCCGGTGCGCTCTGCCTCTCAATCACGCAAGCACGTTGTCCATTGCATTCCGCTGCCACTAATATCATCCTCGCGCAGATCCCCTGAAGTGGCCCAGCAATGGATGAACGTGGTCACCTCTCCCGACGGCTTCCCCGACAACCTGACCCTGTACCTGGTACACCACAAAAAGAAGAAGAAGAAGAAGTAGCTATCTTGATCTGCGACATACATTCCTGTGTCTTATTCAGTTTTTTTTCCCCCCTACGATCAAGCTGAACGACACCCAACCAACTGGCGAGAAGGGCGCCACTGTGTTTGCCGTGTTCAACGGACCGGCAGAACAGGGCAAGCAGCTGCTCAAGCCCTTCATCGACCTTGGGCCTGTCGCCACTCAGGTACCCTGGGTCTTGTCCGCGGGTTGCGGTTGATGGTGAGAACTCACTCCTTTGAGCTTTGTGCCTTTTTGGGGCGGCGCAGGAGCAAGAGTTGCCATTCCGGCTTGTCCAACAAGGCATCAACGACAGGTTTCCCCCTGGCCGTCACTACTACCAAACCGGCACCTTCGTCAAGGTGAGCCATCCAATGGAGCCTCTTGATGTCCGCGACTGACACCATGTGTCATGGTGTGTGTGTGGCGAGTTTTCCAGAAGTTGAGCACAGAGTTGTTCGATGTCATCCACAGACACTACAGTGTGGTCCCGTCACCGTTGAGCTCGGTGGTCTGCGAGCCTCATGTACGCCATCGTTGCCACAGTGACGTCCAGCAAGCAGGTGCACAGGTGGCGCCAGTCTAACAAGATCCGCGCCACTCTTGTGCATGTGAATCACAGGGCGGCAAGATCTCTGAAGTGCCCTGCGAGGAGTGTGCGATTGGCTGGAGGGCCAACAAGTTCTTCATTGCCATCTTTTCCTCTTGGGAGAAGGTACGCACTGCAATCATCATCATCGTCTCTATCTTGCGGACTCAGCGTGGTCTGTCTCTTCTTCAACGCGCAAGGAGGAGGAGGGCGACGCAAACAAGGCCTGGGTACGCGGCCTAATGGAGGATCTGAAGAAGTTCAGGGCCGCCACCAACTACATCAACCTGGCCCTGCCCGAGTGGAAGAAGCGCCAGGCCAGCGACTTCTACGGTCCGCACCTCCAGCGTCTGCGCGAGCTCAAGCTCAAGTGGGATCCCGACAACTTCTTCCGCTTCCAGACCTGCTTGACCGACTGAAAGCAAAGAGCTCGGCGAGCTAAGCGACTATGGTGGTGGTGGTGGTGATGGTGGTGGTGTCAACAACTATTGGCGGAAGTAATGACAACACCCGAACCAACAACAACAAACTTGGCCCTGACGACCACCTGGTCGAGGCTGCAGCTCGCTTCTGTTTTAGGCCGCAGCAACGGCCAACTGTGGTCAAGTTGGCTTTTTTCTGCTTGGCCAAGGAAAGCCGGGGAGAAAGACGAAGAAGGGGAAGGAGAAGGACGAGGAAGGAAGCGAGGTGTGGCCACTCCGATCAATCAAGAAAAGAAGAGAGAGAAAAAAGACATAGGATGGAGCAACACCCTCCTCAGGGACAGAAGCGGCGGAAGGAGCCGGACGAAAAAATGAGTGTGGGCCAACAACAACAACAGCGGGTGTCAAACCTTGGTTTCGCATCTTCATCATCATCATCTCCATCATCTTCATCAGTACGTGGCACCGGCGAAAAAGAGACCCAAAACGCGAAGCGAAAGAACGAAAAGAAAGCGACAACGACCGGCGGCGTTGGGGGCGGGGGGAGGGGACGAGGCGGCGGTGTGAGCGCGGCCCACGGGACGTCCTCGTCCAGCTCCTCGTCCTCGACGTGGGTGGACGAACAAAAGTCGCTGTCGGAGATGAAGCAGCGCCTGCAGCGGGAGCTCCTCGACGCCGGCAAGCAAGACGTCGCGCTCCTCCTCCACTCCCGCCTCAAGCGACGACGACGCCCCGCCGTCTCCTCCACCTCCACCGCCTCCTTAACAACAACCGCCACCGCCACCGCCACATCGACCACACCACCCCTTGCATCGCCCGTTGCTCCTCCGCGACCATCACTGCCACCACCACCATCTTCTTCTTCTTCTTTTTCTACACAACACCAACAACACGACTACTACTCCGCGGCGCAGGCCTACGCGCCACGAGTGTCGCGCGACGGTGAAGAGGCGGAGGGGGAGGAGGAGCGGCAGGTGGCGTGGCACCAGCAGCAGCACCCGGCCGGCGGTTACAGCCAGCCGACGCGCGTGCGGTCCTACTCGCGCACCTACACGTCCGGATTGTCTTGGTGCGAACACAACAACGCCTATGCTGCGCAGAACGAGTGTGTGATGCTGACGGAACACGCACGACACGACACGCACCACGACACGCACCACGACACGACACGCTATCGCGTGTGCGCACACACGGCACAGGGAGCCACAGCCTGCCACGTACGCGGAGGGGCGTCGCTATGCGGTGCCCATCGCCGGGGCGGACGTGCATGTGCGCAACTGGAGCATCTACCGCCAGTACATCGAAGTCTTCAACGCCTACATCTGGTGCGCCATTGTGTGCCGCGTGTCGTGCTACGGTTCGCGAACTAATAGTGTGCGTGTGTGTGTGTTGTGTTGTGTGTGTTGTGTTGTGTGTGTGTGTGTGTGTGTGTGTGTGTGTGTGTGTGGCGGTCGCCAAAAGGGCCAACGCGCCGCTGAGCCCTGCGGTGATGGACGAGGACAATGTGCGGTCCATACTCTACTACAGCGGAGACGACTGGGGCAACGCCCTCGCGCTCAACGTCCACATCGCGCTCGCGCTTGGTATCGTATCCTGTGGCTCCGGTGGGGGCTGAGAGATGGGGTTGCTGCACACAAACTTTTTTTTAACTCCGATGCATTGCAACAATGTGTGCGGCACGTGCAGGCGCGCGGGCCATGGGCGAGCTGGAGCACAGCGTGGAGCACTACATGAAGGCCCGCAAGCACCTCGAGTACCTGTTCGACTGCAGCGACTACGCCGTCGCCGAGGGCCTCCAGGGGATGCGGTACTCTCGGCTCGATCCACCCGCGGCCTGGATACCAACTCACCCCGTGTCGTGCCGTGCGTGTCGTGTTGTGTGTCATGCATAGCTACTATGCGAGCGGGATGGGCGACATGGAGCAGGCGGTGTACTACATGGTGCTGATCATGAGCATTTGTCGGCAGCTCAACGTGTACCACGGCGACGTGTACGCGCGCACCTCGACCCTGTACTACTTCATGCCCAGCACGACCGACGTCGAGAAGCAGCGCATCGTGCGCGAGTTTGCCCGCAACTACCCGCAGCTCGACGCCGAGGCCTCCGACACCGCGCTCCGGCCGCGGCCGCGGGTCGACTCGCCCACCTTCTCGTCGCTGCTGCTCAAGGAGAGCCGCTACCCGAACTACCACGAGATCGAGCGCTTGACCCTCCTCTACGTCGGCTTCATGATGAAGCTCGACCGGTCGCGCAACGCCAGCGATTCGCCCCTCGACGCCCGATCCACCTACGTACCTGCGCCGCACACCTTGTGTGTCGTGTGTCGTGTGTCGTGTGTCGTGCGTGGCTGACCAACGCCTCATACAGGAGCTCGCCCAGGGAATGGAGCCCGTAGCGGCAGAAGCGGGTGCGAACGATTATTATTCGTCGCTTTTCATTGTTTTTATTTATTCATTTATCATAGGAGTTTTTATTATTTATTTATTTGGGTTATCATAATTTTAACTCCTGTGCGCGGCAGTGAGGAGTATTCCATGCATGCACTCGAAGAGCGCGCTGCTGGGCTCGCTCGCCCACCAGGCCGAGCTCGCGTGGGGCCTCGGCGACCGGCAGCACGCCACGCGGTGTGCGATCTACTGGCTCGATCTGGTGCAACAGCTGCCCATGCGGTTTTGTTCGCCAGCCATGCTCCACTTCGTGCGCTCCGTTCTTCAGGTACGCTCGTGTGTCGTGTCGCGTCGCGTCGCGTCGCGTGTGTGCGGTTGTGTGTCGTGTCGTGTCGTGCGTTATAATACAAATCTGATGAACGGGAGCAGGTGTGGGTGGGGTTGGAGGACTGGGACCGGTTGGACGCGTCGCTGGCCATGATCAGGCCCCTCACTGAGATCTACCCGCCGTGGATGCGGCTCTACGACGCCTTCCTCGAGAAGGTCCACCAGGGCCGGCGCGATTCGTGGGCGCTCCAGCCGCCGCCGCCGCCGCCGCCGCCGCAGGACGCGCCGCGACCAGCGCTCGGCCCGCAGGCGCTTGGCCGGCGACAGCAGCCGCCGCGCGAGTCGCGCCGCCTTCAACCCCCTCCTGCACTATTCGACCAACTCGCCGCGCACGGGCCCGACATTCATCAGCAGCCTCCTGTGCAGCAGCAGCTACAGCATTACCACCAGCCGCACCAGCGGCAGCAACAGTTCTCGCCTGAATCGTCTCCTTCGTTCTCCTCGTCGTCGTCGTTATCTCCGCCTTCGTTCTTCTCGACCGTGACGTCGTCATCATCATCGTCCGCGGGCGGCTCGGCGCTGCCGGGCATGCCGTCGTTCCGGATGGCGGACTTCAGCAGCAGCAGCGCAACAACGCCCGAGGGCTCGTCTTCGCCGGCAGCATCGTCGTCATCGTTGGCCTCGTCCTCCTCGTCGCTGCTCTCCGAGGAGCGCCAGCTGCCGAGCCGACTCCTCTCCGCCGCCGGCACCACACATGAGCCCGCGCGTGACATGGAGGCCTTTGTCGACAAGCTCTTCGACATGTAGCCATCATCTCAACATGTTCATATGTAATCAATATGTTGTGTCAATATGCTGTAGTTTTGTTGTTTCCGAATCATCACAGGAGGACGAGGGGCGGCGCGGGGCCGTGGACGGACTCGCGCGAGCGGCTCTTCATGTTCTGCTTCGAGTTGGGCGACACGTAGCGCCGCGCCGGCGGGAGGTGCGGGTGTCGCTCCTTCTCCTTTTCCTTCTTTGCCTCCGGTGTGTCGCTCTCCTCCTCTTCCTTCTCATCGTCATCGTCAGCTTCGTCATCTTCATCACTCTCATCATCGTCGTCATCGTCATCGTCGCTGGCGTTCTCCCCTTCGTCGTCGCGGTCGTCGGTGAGTTGCTCGTCCTTTGTCGACGGCCGCACAAGGGGCGGTCGCTTGGTCCGGGAGCTGCGCAGGAATCGCCTGGCCGGCGGAAAGGTGGTCGCCTCGCTAGCGCTGGCCTCGCTGGTCGTCGTCGTCGTCATCGCCACCACCGAGGCCGACGTGGTCGTCGTCTCATCGGCGACCGCCGGCATCGCCGACGGCAGCAGCGGTGGTGGTGGGAGTTGAGGCGCCAGGGCCGGCGGCGGAGAAGCGGGACCATGGGGGGCCGCGTGCAGGGGTTCGGCGGTGGTGGACCGGCGGCGGCTGCGCACGAAGATGACCCGCCGCTTCGCCCGCTTGGAGGGTTGGGCGACGGGGTCGGCCGTCTTCACCGGCACGAGCCCTCGCTTCTTCAGCGGCCGGAAGAGCCGCACCAGCCGCCCGCCGACGCCGCCGTTTTCTTCCTCTCCGTCGTCGTCTTCCTCTTCGTTTTCCTCATCGCCTTCGGAGATGTCAGAGCCTTCTCCACCGCCGCCGCTGTCGTCGTCTTCGCTTTCCTCTCTATCGCTTCGTTCTTCTTCCACCACGCGGTTGGCCACGACCAGCCCCTCTGGAATCTCAAGCACGAAGCGCGACACCTTGGCGTCTCCCCTGTGGCCGACGAGAAGCAGAGTGAGCCCAGCCCATCAGCACCACCGCCCCCAACGCCCCGCGGCGCCCAGGGGAGTACCGTGAGTTATTCACAAAACTGATGAAGAGCCGCTCCCGCGCACGCGTCATGGCCACGTAGCAGAGCCTTCGCTCCTCCTCCAAGGCCCTGGTGTGTTGGTCACGCCTGAACCGCACGACACACACGGCACACGCAACACGCAACACGACACGACACGACTTAGTGTTCGTGGGGTTGCGCGAGGGGGTGGTCAGGCGCACTGTTCGTCCTCGGTTGCGCCCTCGGGGCTGAGCAGAGATTTGAGGGCCTGCCACGAGGGCATTACCGTTTCGTTCATCTGTACCAGGAACACCACCGGCCACTCCAGGCCCTTGGCCCTGTTTCCGTAGCGCCAGCGCCCAGCGTCAAGCCAATGAGATCTCACGACACACGACACACGACACACGACACACACGACACACGAGGAGCCATACAGCGGGGGCATACCGATGGATGGTGCTGAGGGTGATAGCGTTCTGTTTGCCGCCGCCCTCGTGTCTGCCGGTCGATCCGCTGGCTCGCTGCTTAACGAAATCGGCCAGCAGCTCCTGAAGAGAAAGACTGTCGTGTGCCGTGCGTGACATTGCGCGTCAGGTCAGCTCTCACTGAGATGCAATGCTGTACGCGTGTGCGGTCGTGCGTGTGCGGTCGTGCGTGTGCGTGTGCGTGTGCGTGTGCCGTCGTGCGTGTGCGTGTGCGATGGTTAGCTCGCGAAGAGGGAGCACTCACCTGAACGTATATTCCTCGGTGTCCAGTCGTCGCGTGGTCTCGTAGCGGCTGGCCTCTTGCTTGAGCCGGTTCACAAATTCCGCCCTGCTCTGACGCCGCTGGTCGGGCTCAGCGGCCGAGTCCGTCAGCAGGAAATCTCTCTCGCTGTCCTGGTCCTGTTCCTGGTGGTCCCCCTCGCCATCGCCATCGGTGTCGTCGACGCGCTCGAGCCACCTGGCGACGGCCTCGATGACGTCGGCCAGGACCTTCCGCGGAGCCCGCGCCGGCCCCTTGTTGGCCCTCGCCGGCGACGCGCTGTCGTCGCGCTCCTCGCTCTCGTCTTCCTCCCACGAGTCCAGCAGCAGCTCGGCCCTCGTCCGCTCCACCATTTTTACAATGCGCCGCAGGACCTCGATACGATGGCCGTCGTCCTTCTCCCCCGCTGTTGCTATGTACAGTTTGGCCGCGCGGAAGAGCGAAGTGCCCTCCACGTGCGCTCGCGCTCGCAGGCCGTTCATTACTGTAACAAATGAAGTTATTTAGTGTGTCGTGTGCGCCGTGTCGTGTCGTGTCGTGTCGTGACGTACGGGTGCCTGCGGAGGTCGAGTGGAGCACGCGAATGAAACTCTCGTCGGTGTCGTTGGTATCTACAATGAGCGAGAGGCAATCGACGATCACCTCGCTCTCGCCACCGCTGGCGGTGCTCGGCTGCCAGCCGCTGCTCTCCGCCGCGTCCCTGTCCGCGCCGCTGATCACGTAGGGCACGTTGCGCTGCGCGAGCGCCTCCTCGAAGGCCGCCAGCGAGAACCCGCGCGACTTGAAGTTGCGGAATAGGACGCACATGTCGCGGTAGCGGTACTCCTTCCGCCTGCTCTTCTCCTTGATCGTGGCGATGACCCGCCGCATCTCCGTTTCCCAGTCCTCGCACACGGTCAGCCCTACCAGGTTCCCCTGCGCGTTGGCCGTGTGCAGCCGCGTGTAGGGCAGCGCGAATCCCTGCGCGTCGGCCGGGAGGTGAGTGAGCGGTGCGTGCCAAACCCAACCACCACCACTACCCTCCCCCCGGAGAGCCTACGTACCAATTCCACCGCTGAAGCGCTGGGACTTGGGTTGTTTGATATCACGCTTTGGGCCGCTTGCAGGATCTGGAAGAGGGAATGAGCGTGCGAGTGAGCCAGACAGAAGGCCTTGAAGCGATGATGATCCGGAGTAGTACCGTTTTGGACGATCGGTAGTTTTGTTGGAGCGAAAGATACAGCGCGCCCTCGCCAAAGGACCGGTGAAACTCCTTCCAGTTATCGAAGTTGGTCCCCCTGAAGCTGTAGATGGTCTGTTCTCAACGTTATGAAAGAAAGCAAGAAATGTTCGCTGGTGTCAGCACATGTGCAGTACCATGGAGCTTACGCTACATCGGTGCGTACCTGGTGCGGGTCTCCGATGACTGTGACGGCCTTGTGCGGTTGGGCCAAGAGTCGCACCAGCTCCCACTGCAGCCGCGATGTGTCCTGGAACTCATCTACGAGCACGACCTGGAACATTTGCTGGTAGCGCGCGAGGAGTGCTGGGTCGGTGGTGAGCAGCTGCACCGACTTGCGGATCATGTCGTGGAAGTCGACCAGGCCCTCCTCCTCCAAGCGCTCCTGGTACTTGGCGTAGACGAAGCGATGCCTGGCGTCCCACTTCTCATCGCTTAAGAAAGAAGAAGTCGATCAGCACAGAGCAGCAGCGGAAGAGAAGAGGAGGGTAGTGCGTAGTACTATTCTTGGGACAGGGGCAGGTTGGCCTTGGCTCGGCCGATGAACTGCAGGAAGTAGTTCACGGTCAAGCGCGCCTGTCGTTCGTTGCTCTCTTTCGAGGGAGCTTCCAGACGTCGTCTCTTGGCACGGCGCCGGCCCGGTTCTTCTTCTTCGTCTCCATCATCATCTTCTTCTTCCACGTCCACTGAGTCCTCTTCGTCATTCGCCTCCGCGTTTCCCTTTTCTTCCTCCTCCGGCGACCAGAGTTCCAGGCACTCTTCGATCAGTTCGGCTTGCCTCCGCTTCTCGATCACCTCCAAGTCCCGCCCCACGCTCCCGCACGCGTCGCGCGACAGTCGCAACAGGCGCCAGCAGAACCTGCGCAGGCGAGCAAACGAAAGCAAGCGGAAGGAAAGGCGTTATTGGTTGAAGGCGATGAGGGTCGTGTGAGAGGAGCATGAGCCGCGGACCTGTGGAAGTTGGAGACGGTGACGGGTCGCGTCAGCGGGCACAGGGAATCGAGCCGGTGCCGCATCTCGTCGGCCGCCTTGCGAGAGAAGGTGATGGCCAGGATCGCCTCCGGCCTCACGTTCTGCCGCGCCACCAGGTCCACTGCACGGGAGCGACGACCGTAAGCGCGATGGATCGCCTTACCACTCCTGATCAGGAGCGCAGAGAGAAGGCAAAGACTGAACGTACCGATGCGATGGCACAGAGTGAGGGTCTTGCCGGTGCCGGGGCCGGCACAGATCAGGAGAGGTCGATCGACGGGCGCCTCGGCCGCCTCCCTCTGCTCCGCGTTCAGGCCGGCATGGAGGACGTAGTCCACACTACCGCGGCTACGCGTGGTGGTGGTGGTTGCGGTGGGTGCCGCGGCATTGCCCGAGGCAGGTTGAGGCGTAAACGAGTCCAGGAGAACATCAAGCTCGGCCCACTGAGACGATGACGAACTGCCCTCGCCATGTTGTGTCAGATTGATCTCGAGATTTCGCTCTTTCTCCTCCTCAGCGATTGCAGGTCTCGTGTATGGCTCTGGCAGAGCCGGTGGTGACGGGGGGAAGGCTTGCGTCGCCCAGCACACCCCCTCGTCCTCTTCCATCCAGATTATTGTATTTTACGATCTTTTCCTTTGGCCAAATAACAAGTTTGAATTTCCAAGAATTTGTTCCAAACATTCCAAACCTGTGGAATTGGAAGAACTTAAAACAGGGGAAAAAAGAAATCAAACCACACAACCGGTGAATTGAACGAAGATGAAGAGGTCCCTGGGTTTATGGAAGCGTCCCTACGCCGGTGTCAACCACCTCGTACTTGCCCTCTCGCTGTGCCGCTTAGCCGGCACCTCCGGCGCATTAAATCCCCCCCTCACGAAATCACAATCGGAATCAATCAGCAGCCGCTAATTTGCTTCTAATTTGCCAGATTGTCGGTCTGGGCAACTGGTACTACCCGCTTTCGCGTGAAAGCGTGGGCTTGTACGCTCTTGAGCGATATGCACAGGTAGATCCTTCCTCCCGTTCAGGCATGTGGATAGAATTTAACGCTAAATGGCTGTGTGCAGAGGTACTCGCTTGTGTGGGACTTTATCCCCAACATCTGCAGCGACGCCCTCGCCTCCAAGACTGGCATCGCGCTCATCAAGCCCAAGACCTACCAGCAGAAAGGTACTTCACACAATACCTATTCCGCTCCTCCTCTCCGCGTGCTGCTCACCGCTTGTTCTCTTTGCCTGACGCTTGCTTTAGACATGGGCAAGGCGGTAGCGATGGCGACGGAGGCAATGAACCTCACCATCGACGACGTCACCATCCTGCACTACGACGCCAACCTGCCCTGCGGCCAGGTCCGATACCGAACCGGAGCGCTCGAGTACTTCCTTCCCACCGCACCTCGTCTCTCCGCGCGTATGTGTTCTTTGTCACCCTAGCATTGACAATGGTCTTCCACGCTTCCCGCAGTGCGCCCAACGTGGCAGTGCAGTCCATCATCAACATGTTCGATACCGAGGTGCATTCTTCCTCATCGCTTGGCCCAGCTCGCACGGAGCAACACTCACTCAACACATTGTGCGCGTGAGAGCAGAGGCTGAACAGAGTGTCGATCGGCATCAAGCCCGTGTCGGAGGACGAGGTCTTCGTGCCCACCATCGTGCAGGCCATCGACAAGAGGTGAGAAGACAAAACCTATCACATACCGTTCCACCGCGTCCAGACTTGTTGCTCACAGCTCGTCGATCGTCTTCGTCACGCTGTGTCTCTCTCGCCAGGTACCTGGACAACTTCAACGACATCTGGATCAGGAACGTGCTGAGCGACACGGAGAGACCGCTCGTGGACAAGGCGAGCGACAAGGTGACCGATGAGCTGCTCCACTCCGCGACCAACACGACGGACAACACCTTCTCTCGCCTCAACACGCTCTAGAGCGGTCCATCGCTCTCTCTTCTCCTTCGCTCTTCATCGACACTAAACGATAATGTTGCTGATTGCACGGCTCGCAAGTCGAAGAAGGAGGAGCGTAGCCCGATACAGGCCCATGTGGGGTGAGGGAAGCAAGTCGTATTTGTTGAATCAAGGAGCCCTCGTCGTTGAAGAAGGAGAACAGGGTTAGTGTCTGGGAGTGCCATCTGCTTGCACCTTGGTGCCGTGGGGCACCACCAGTATGCGGTCGGGGTCGTAGTTGGTCGCGCGGTTGAAGGAGGCCCGGCACTCGGACACACCCAGCCCAAAGCCAGCACCAGCACTCGCGCCAATACCGACCAGCCGCATCCACCGCTTGCCTGCGCAACATTAAATGATTAATTGATGCAATAAAGAGATATTGGGTGGCAAATGTTGATGTGAATTGTACCGAAGAGGAAGAGCGAGAGTGAGCCAAAGAGGGCGCCATAGCCGGTCGATCGCAGAATGGCCTCGCTGCAGTAATCCCACCTCTTGGCCACCAGGAACTCGGAAGGTACTCGATCTCCCATCTTGTGGTAATGTTGTGTTTATTGATTTGTTTTGTTTTTATTTCTACCCCTTACAAAACCGGATAAATCGCGGTGTAGAAAAAAGGATAAATTGACAGAATAATTAATTATGGAAAATTGGCCATGTTGGTTCCTCTTTCTCTCTTTCGCCCCGAAATAACGGGTCAGTGCTCTTTTTCTATTTTTATTTCAATATCTATATAGTATTTATTTAGACGAGAGACGAGCCCGGGTTCTGCCAGCCATGACCGTGCTCAGCATCCTCTCGGACGTGTGCGGCTGGGGTGCGTTACCCCCCCCCCCACACCACCGGACATCAGATTCGCCGCTCATCCGCCGCGTCTCTTCAGTCTATTTCGTGGCCTGGTCTGTGAGCTTCTATCCGCAAATCTACCGCAACTGGAGCCGAAAGAGGTACGTGCTTCACTTCATCCTCGTGGAGCACTCCTCCGGTATCGGCGACACCCAAAAATAAATAAAGAAATAAATGAAAACAATTCACGAGAAGTAAGTGTGCTGACCGTGGTGGGCCGCTGTCAATGCGTGCAGCGTGGTGGGACTCTCATTCGACTTTGTGGTCTACAACCTGCTGGGCTTCACGTGCTACAGCATCTACATGGTATCTACAGCATTGCGTGTCGCATGTGTGCGCGTTTGTGCGAGAGCAGCTGCCAGGCTGCGCAAAGCCACAACACCAACACGCTCTGATGATGTCTCAAAAGTGTGCCGAGTTTTGGAGCAAGCGAGTGCGGGAAGAGTATCGGGAAGCCAACGACGGGGACGAGGTCTCCGTGCAAATCAATGACGTCGGTAAGCGATGATCACCGGGCCTCCTGCATCAATGCATATATAGAGAGCTGCTGTTGGACTCATTCTCATCTTGCATCTCATTTATTTCCAGTCTTTGCTCTGCACGGTGTGGCGATGGTGCTGCTGACCATGTTCCAGTGCCTCATCTACGAGGTGTGCCCTCCGTGGCGTTGCGAGTGTGGATGTATCGCTCATTCGCTCTTTCCTTTCCTTTCAATACGTGCAGCGAGGGAGTCAACGCGTGTCATGGGTGTGCATAGCCATCTCCTCATTCATCACTGCGGGCGTGGTGGTGTTGGGCGTCCTCGTCTTTTCGCCATGGGTCAAGAGTACTTGCACTCATCTCATTTCGCTTCGCTTCGCCGCTGTCGTTCTCTTTCGCGAGCTTTGCTTGCTCACTAATGTGATGGTGTCGTCAGTTTTGTGGTGGATCCAGGGCCTGGGCTACGTCAAGGCGGCCATCACCGTGATCAAGTACTCACCGCAGGTCTACATCAACTACAAATTGCAATCGACTGGTGCGCCTCAGTACCACATTTCCTGTTTTAAAATCCACGTTCGTTTGGGTGACCATGCATATCTCCTCTTCTTCTGGGTCGTGACCCCAACGCAGAGGGCTGGTCCATCTGGCAAGTGCTGCTGGATGTGGTTGGCGGCCTCCTCTCGTTCCTCCAGAATGGACTCACCGCCATCGATCAGGGTAAGCCTACACGACAGGAAGCATCCCAGCCAATCGGTCGACCAATTCTCACATTCCCACCCACGTGCACCCACCACCATCACCAGGTGATGCCTCGCCGTTCAAGGACTACCCTAAACTTGCGCTGGCGCTCATCTCGCTCGTCTTTGACGCCATCTTCATCATTCAGCACTACTTTCTTTACGGACACAGGTACCTGTGCCCTTTAGGCCCCCAATGAGACTGTAAACGTGTGCTCATGCGCTCGAACGCGTTGTGAACATGAATCATCGCAGGGCGAGCAGCTCGACGCCATCGCTGTACGACGAGGTTGGCGACTCTGAGTGGGAGGGAAAGGAGCGTGTGGACTTCTACTACTCGATCAACGACAAGTCGGACAGCAGCGCGCGATCAGGCTACGACTCGGCCTTTAGCGACGACGACTACTACGGCCAGCCCTACAAATATGCCTCACATGCTTCAGTGTAGAGTCCCACATCTTCCCCTTGAACACTCCACACGACTGAGGCTGATCGCAACTCGAGACCAACAAATACAAATAAAAATAAAAATACCATTTCCCGCCTTTTTCAGCCACCGGCACATCGCGCAATCGATTCCAGGCCGACAAGATGTACGGGCTTCCATCCCCCGATGAGGGGCTCGATTATGGAGGGCAGGCAGCTGCTGCGGAGGAGATGGAAGAGGAGGTGGTCCAGGATGAGCAGATGGCGACACTTGCCGAGGAAATTGAAGAGCGCTTGCGGCAACAGCGCAGGGAGAAGCTGTACCACCAGATGGAGGAGGTCAAGCAACTCATGCGAGCAGAGCTCGCCCAGCAAGGCGTCGATCTTGACGATCGTAACGGTCACAAGCTCCCGGCGGAAGCGATTGAACATCTCGACTTTGGAGAGGACGTCGATCAGTGGGTGAAGCTCGCCGTCAAGCTTCAGAATGCCTTGGAGGACGCCGAGGAGCGATTGGCACACGCAGGCGCCGAGTTGCAGAATGCAAACGTCGAAATCGAGGGCCTGGGCCGCACGGTGGAGTTGCAGGAGCGCAGGATGGATGCGCTACGCGAGGAAAAGGAGCATTTGCGGCAGAGGGCTGGAAGCAGCCCTCCTCCGCGAGGGGTCCTTGTGCTTCCGTCTCGCGATCCCCGCCTGAGCGAGAAAGAGCAGGAGATCGCCCGCCTGTGTAATGAAAATCGAAGGCAGCGAATTGAGATGGTACCTAGTCTCTCCCTCCTACGTCTGTGCCGTTGATCGCGGCGACTGAAGCACTTTTACACAAACGTGCAGGAAAAGATCAAGGCCGAGCTGAGTGAGGCCAACAGCAAGCTGGCCAGCGAGCAGCAGAAGGGACAGAAGCTACAGACCACCCTCTCCAAGGCCCGAGGTCATTCCCCCTCCACTTATCTTCTTGCATCTTTACGCCAGTGCTGCACATGCTCACGGCTTGTGTGCATCATCATGTGTTGTTACGCTTGCGACTTTCCCTGGGAGCAGGTGTTGTGGAGCACGAGCGAGTGAAGCGACGGAAGGTGGACAGCGCCCAGGAGGAGAGCGATCGCGACCGCCAGAGCCTCCATCGCGCCCAGATGGCGCTCATGGAGGAGAAGCGTCAGGGCGCCCTGCTCGCCCAGCAACTGCAGAGCGTGCGCGACGAGCTGGCCCGCGAGCGCGAGGCCTCAGCCGCCAAGCAGCGCCAGGTAACCGAGCTGCAGGCTGAGCTGGCCGCGCGCGACCAGGAGCGCCGGCAGTGGGAGGCCGAGCGACAGCAACTGCTGAGCGCGCACGACGCCGAGCGGAGCGTGTGGGAGGCCGAGCGACGGCAGGAGAAGCGCAAGTGGGACGATGACCGCGAGCGCGAGCGGAAGGAGCTCGTGGCCCGCCACGAGACCGAGCGCGTGCGACGCGAGGCGGCCGAGGCGGCGCGGAGGCGCGACGAGGAGGAGCGGTGGAAGCGCGAGCGGGAACAGCAGGAGGAGGCGAAGAAGGTCGCAGAGATGATGAAGGAGCGCGAACGCGCGGCTAAGAGGAAGCGCGTGGACGACGAAGAGGAAGAGGAGGAGCCGGAACGCGACGACGAAGACGAAGAAGGCCTGGAGGAGGAAGAAGGCTCGGGCGAGGAGATGGTACAGGAGGAGCTGGTCGAAGAGGAGGCTGCCGAGGAGGAGGAGGAGGAGGGCAAGCCCGAAGTCCGGAAGGCATCGCCGGCGGAGACGAGCGAGGCCGCCGGCGAAGAGGAGGAGGCGTCTCTCGAAAGACAAGAAGAAGAGAAGGAGAGCGTCGAAGCGGACGTCATGGACACCTCGGGTGAGGCGGCCGTCGCGGCAGCAGCCACCGAAAAGCAGCAGCAGGAGGAAGCAGAGGAGAAGGAAGAGAAGCGCGACGCCGTGAAGGAGCGGCGAGACGAAGAGGAGGAAGAGGAAGGTAGCGAGGAGTCTAGCGGCAGCGTAAGCGAGGACGAGGAGGAGGAGGAGGAGGAGGAAGAAAGGAGGACACGAAGCGTGCGATCACTGAAGGAGAAGATGAGGAAGAAGCGTCAAGAGATGGAGGAAGAGGAAGAGGAGGAGAATGACGAAGCGAAGAGTTGGAGAGCTCTGACGAGGAGCAGGAAGACGACGACGAAGAAGAAGGCGAAGAGGTGTCTTCGAGCAGATGGAGACGAGGAATGGCGGATGACGAAGACGAAGACGAGGATGAAGCGGAGGAAGAGGAAGAAGAGAGCGAGGAGGCAGAGCACTCCATTCCCGCGAGGAGACGCTGGCCCGGCAAGGAAGTGCAGGAAGAAGAAGACCAAGAAGAAGAGGAAGAGGAAGAAGGCTCTGAGGAGGAGGATGACGAGGAAGAAGAGGACGAGGACGAAGAAGAACAGGACTTCCCTCCGTCCAAGAAGGGCAAGAAGGGTCCACCTCCGCCCTCGCAGCCCGTCATGATCGACCTCACCGACGACTGATGATCATCAGGGCTCGCCACCCACCGAGCCCTCTTCGGACATAAAAACGCACAAAAAGAACGAAAGCGAAGCAGCGGCGCTGGATGAAAAGCGAAGACACGGCAGAAATGAAGTGAAGGGAAGCTGGCGATCACAACCTATTAATGAAATAAAATAAAAGGAGATATTTAAGGTCCAGTACGAGTTAGCACACCAGAGCAAAGAGAGAGTAAGAGATGGAGGTGAACGACAACAACACCCTCCAAAGTGGGGAGGCGGGCGAAGAAGGGGCGCCGCAGGTGCGCCAGCGGAGCGCGCCGGGGTCGCCCCCGCCCCCGCTGCGGGTGGTCAAGTTCGCTTCACAGCCGGAGAGCCGGCACGCCGACTCAAAAGATGACGATGTGGCCGAGGTCCGCAAAGAAGAGGGAGAAGAAGGAGATGATGGAGGCGAGGAAAAAGATGATTTCGATTTCGCCGACGATGACGTCATGCTGAATCTCGTCAACGAGCAACAGCAGCACAACGGCGGCTCGGGCATCGAGAGAAGGGATTCGGCGTGGATGATGGCCCACCAGGCCGGCCAGGCCGTCAGCGAGTGGCTCCAGCGCAAGGACCGCGAGCGGGCCACCCCCAACGGGCGACCGGTCTCGCCCCCGCCCACAACCACCACTGGTGGCCTGCCCGACCCGCTACTCGACCCCGCCGCCCTCACCAGCACCACCTCCGCCGGCCGCAAGCCTCCGTTCCAGACCTCCCAGCGCGTCAAGGTACGCCACCACCCCTCCCCACGCCCCTCGGCGCGTCTCCCACTAACTCCTATGTCGTGTTGTATGCGTGTGTGCGGTGTGTGCGGTGGGTGTGGTGTGTGCGGTGGCAGTCGGTGGGGTTCTTCTCGTTCAGCCGGTACGACACGCCGTCGAAGGAGGGCTGGCTCACCAAGCAGGGCGGACGGGTCAAGAACTGGAAGCGGTACGCGTACCCTTACCCGCGGGCCGATCGACCACCATCGGCCAACCCCCCCTTGCCCTAACCACCCGCCCGTACAGGCGATGGTTCATTCTCTCGGAGGACCGGCTCTACTACTACAAGAAGCCCGGCGTACGCGCTGCTCACTACATCTTGGCCCACCGCACGCACACTCACACTCACACTCACACTCGCCGTGTGCGTCGTATTGTTGTGTGCTCGCGTGCCATGCGAACAAAAACAGGACATGACTCCGTTGGGTTTCATCCCTCTTTCCCGGTGTTGCATCCGCATCACCGAAATGCGACGACGAGGCCGACGGCTGCGGTGCGTGCCTCCCCCTCCTCCCCCCTTGAACCAGCCAGCGCGAGAAAGCTGCGCCACAGCGCTGCTCATCACATCACTATGTGTGCGTGTGCGTGTGCGGTGTTACGTGTGCGGGTGTTGAGGGGACCACACAGGTACAGCTTCGAGTTGTACGATCCGCTGGGCGTGTTCTGCCGGCGCCACCCGGCCTTCTACATTTTTGCGGACAACGAAGAGGAGTTGGAGGAGTGGATTCGCGCGCTCAACCTCAAGGTCGCCGACTCGCCGATGAAGAATCTGCGGGTGGAGGAGCCCGTGATCGACATTCACCCGATCGAGCGCCAAGGCTGGCTCACCAAGCGCGGAGGCATTGTCAAGGTACTCGCCCACATGCGACACACGCACACGCATCACCGCACACGCACACGCACACACACGCAACGCGCCCCTTACGTTTTTGTCTTGCGATAGAACTGGAAGCGGCGATGGTTCGTGCTGCGGGGGAACATGCTGTACTACTACCGAAACACCAAGATCAAGACGCCGCTTGGCTTCATCCCCGTCGTACGCTCGCCTCCCCTTTCGCCTTTATACGTGTGCCGTGTGTGGTGTTGTGTGTGTGTGTGTGTGTGTGTGTGTGTGTGTGTGTGTGTGTGTGTGTGTGTTGAACGTGTGCGATCAACTCCGCAGGACCGGTGTTCGGTCGAGTTGCTCAACACGGACGACGATTTCAAGAAGCACGGCATCCGTACGGACCCCCTCTGTTCGTCTTTGTTGGCCCGGGCGAGGTGGTACTGCTGCTGCTGCTGCTGCTGCTGCTGCTCACCGTCACACGTGTGCCCACGGCTGGCGCAGGCTTGCCGAGGCGGAAGCAGGGCTTCGTGTTCCAGATCACCGATCCCTGCTCGGCGTTCAACCGGTGGCATCCGAGGTATGCGACGTGGCCCACACACCTTTTTTGAGCGCCAAGACTGACTGACTGACTGACTGATGGGTCGGTCGCCGACGCTAGTTACTACCTGATGGCGGAGACGGAGGAGGACATGGACGAGTGGATCGCAGCGATCTGCACCATCAAGCTGCTCGACTTTGACGCCTCCCAAATCACCGGTTCGCATTTTATTTCTTTATCACGCTTGGCCCCACGCATTGAAGTGCCCACCACTCACGCTTTCGCTTTTCATTCTTTCATTCATTCATTCTTTCTCTTTTGTCGTCGAAGCAGACAGCTCGCCGAGCGAGTCCTTCCGCCGCGCGACCAATGAAGGTGTGTGGCCTGCCCCCTCTCGACCGCCGTTCTTCGCCCACTCTGTTCGTAATTTAACTCCGACCAAGCAGATGAGGTGCTGGTGCAGCTGAGCGGGGAGATCGACCCGGACGCGCTGGCGCGGCAGTACGGAATGGAGAACAAGGGACCCGTCGCGTCCCTCCCCAACTCCTACCGCTTCAAGAAGACCTCCTCCGCGCCCCGCAACGTCATCTCCGCCCTGGGCAAGCAGAAGGGCGTCACCCTCAACAAACGCAGGTTCGCGCACGCACACGCACACGCACACGCACACGCACACGCAAGCTGTAACATGAGCGATGGGCTGTTTTTCTCCAGATTTTCGCTGGGGTCGTCATCGTCGTCGTCGGGCAGCGCGTCGTACTCGCGCACGTCGTCGCTTTCGCTGTCGTCGTTCCGGCTGAGCCTGCCCGAGCCGCTTTCGACCGAGGCCTCGGGCGAGCTGAAGGGCCTCCCGCGCGGCGTCGATCTGTTCAGCGACGACGGCAGCGGCGTCGAAGGTGAAGATGGCGACGACGAGTGGGAGGAGAAGAGCATCGGCCTCGTGTGGCGTAACTCCTATGTCGCCCCACGCCCACACAAGAACGGCGGCGGCAGCGGAATCGGAGTTATAGATTTAGATACCAGCCGCGAGGGCTCGCTGGTGATGGTCGAGGGCGAAGACGACGACGATGGCGACGACAACGAAGAGGAATCGGTCGACGACGCCGAGCAAAAGAAGAAAAAGAAGCAGCAGCTCCAGCAGCTCCAGCAGCAGCCGCGCAACGTTGCGTTCAATCGAGAGATGAAGGCGCTGGCGAGGGATCAGGAGAAGCGAATGACGGCCGTCGTGTCGATGCTCAACTTTTTGTACAAGGCCGTCAAGAAGCGGTCCGCCAAGGCCGTCGCCGCCACTACGAAGGGCACGCCGGCGCAGGCCCAGAGCAAGGCCCGGGAGGAGGTGCTCGAGAACCTCTTCAACACCACCTACGACGACCTCAAGTACCTCGAGGTCCTCAAGGAGCTCCTCCAATCCGACAACGGTACCACTCATGACCGCACACGCATGACCGCACACGCATGACCACACACACACACACACACACACACACACACACACACACACACACACACACACACACACACACACCACCGCACACCACCGCACACGACACGCTCAACGAGTTCGGCCGGTGCAGATCAGCTGGTGCGGGAGGACACGATCGAGGAGATCATGGTGGGCAAGTTCAAGGGCGCCGAAGAACTCGGGCTGCCCCTGTCCCTCTTCTGCGCCCTCAAGACCGCGCACCAAGGTGCGAGCTCTCGCACTTCACTTTAGCGCGCGCATGTGTGCGTGCGCCATGTGCGGTGGTTCGTGTGCTGACGTCAGACCGCACGCGGCAGTTCGTGTGGTGTCGAGCCTGATGCTGGACTACCTGGCCTCTCTCACGTCGCCCATTCTGCCCCACTACCGCCAAATCATCGCCCTTCGAGGTACCCCCCCCCCACGCGCCTTCTTGTTCGGAACTATCGAGTGGAAACTCAACCGCTGCGGCTCTCTTGTGTGTCGTTTGTGTCGTTTGTGTCGTGTGTCGTGCGCAGAGTATGCGGGGGAGCAGCGGACAGCGCGGCTGAGGACGATCATCGCCCAGCTCGACCGGCCGCGGCATCGCATCCTCCGCCGGCTGCTGGGCCTCATCAAGCGCATCGGCGAGCTAGCGGCCCTCTCCAAGTACACTCACCCTGCAGCCCAAGGCCCTTGATGCCACGCCTGTGCGTGGAACTCACCAGCGTGTGCGGCGGTGCGTGTGCGTGTGCCGTGTGCCGTGTGCCGTGTGCCGTGTGCCGTGTGCCGTGTGCCGTGTGCCGTGTGCCGTGTGCAGGAACGGGCGCGCGCTGACGGTCCCGCAGATGGCGATTGTGCTGGCGCCGTACATCATTCGTCCGACGAGCCAGAGCGGCGAGATCGGCTCGGGCTCCGGCGGCGGCGACGACCTGGGAGACACCCTCATCGAGCCCTCCAAGTGCATCGACTCGCCCAAGCCCATCGGCTTCCCCCTCACCCCGCGCCGACGCGAGATCGTGCGCTCCGACTGGTTCGCACACGCCCCCCCCCCAATTCCGTCGCCCCCTCTCACTGCGCTCAAACGTTTGTTGTGCGGCGTGTGCGGTGGTGTGCGTGCGGTCTTGGGCTCCACGCAGGACGCACATTACGGAGCTGATCACCAAGATGGTGGCCGACTTCGAGGCGCTGTTCCACCACCACAAGCAGCAGCAGCCCAACAACAAGAATTCCAAGAACCGCCAGGCCATCAGCGAGAAGACCTGGAACCTGCTCTCGTCCGGCCCCGCGACATCGACATCGACATCATCGTCGTCGTCGTCGTCGATCCCGCCGCCGCCACCTCCCCCGTCGGCCTGGGTGTCGGGCGCGAAGAAGAGCACCAACGCCGAGAGACCCGAGCACCGGCGCGAGCGATCCCTGGGCTCCATCTCCGCCCAATCGACGGGCGTCTAGGTCTTGAGAAGAAAGGAACGCGCACGCGTTGTTTTGTTGATGTTGATGATGATGACGCACCTCGCACGAGGATACAGACATTCATTTTCTCCACCACATTCACATCCCCTTCTTCCACGGGGAGCCCTTGGCGGCGGCGTTGCCCTTGATGGGATTCCTCTCGTCCAGCTTGGTTTGAATATGCTGCCCCACGCCCACGTCACGGCCCGTAAAGGTGAGCCACCCAGCAAAAAACGAAGACGAAAAAGCGGAGGGGAGGAAAAACAAAGAACGAAGAACGAAGAGAAGTAGCAAGAAGGTACCTGGACGAGCAGGTCAATGGCCACCTTGTTGGCCGCCCCTCGCGGGATGATCATGTCAGCGTACTTTTTCGACTGGACACCGACCCCGATCATCGCACAAATGGGAAGGTAAGTCAGCGAGAAGTGGCCACAACAAACAGCGAGAAGAGAAATTCGAGGTCGAGAACAACGACGACGACCACGACGACGACAAAGAAGAAGACAAAGAAGATGTGATGATGAGGAGGAGAAGGAGATTGGCACCGGCGAGACGTATTCCTCGAAGGAGGGCTTCACGAACTTCTCGTACTGGCTCAGCACGCCCACCACGTCACGCCCCCTGTCGCGAATGTCTCGAATGACTGGGCGCGTGCTCTCGTGTATGAGTCGTGTGTTCGCGCTGAGTCGATTTGCGAGTAGTAAGTGGTACCTCGGCGGGCGAGTCGTGTGTCGGCATCTTCATCGACGAAGATCTTCACGTCGAACATATTTCGCGTCTCGACCTGCCACCAAAGAAAGATGAGAAAGATGAGGAAAACTAACAAAAGAAGGTGGGCGGCCACGACGTACGTTGTGGAAGATGAGGATGCCTTCGAGAATGATTACGTCCGCGCCATACACAGACGTCGTTTGCTTGAGCCTGCACACACAGGTATGTGGTTGAGTGTGGTGTGTTATGCATGGAATGTGTGTGGCGTGGCGCGTGGCGCGTACCTGGAATGTGTGACAAAGTCGTATTCTGGGATATCCACAGGCCCGGCCTTGGGGTCCTTGAGGCAGTTGAGTTTCTGCACGAGCAGCGCCCAATCGATCGCAGCTGCGATGGGGAAGTTGCGCGGTCAGGCCACACCCTACGGGCGCGATGAAGGGGAGTGGAGGGGAGCGTACAGGGGTGGTCAAAGTTGAACTCCGACACGTCCTCCCTCTCTGCGGGCGACAGCGGCCGATAGAAGGAATCCTACGTTTGCCAAAATAAATATAAATAATAAATAATAAAGTGAATATATGTATAAATACAAAGGAGAAAAAGAGGGTGGAGGGTAGGATGTACCTGAGAGATAATGGCCACTCGCTGATCCTTCAGCAACGTGATGATCATCTCGCACCTGCAATTATATAAATTGGATGAAATCGCGATCGGAATTTGAGATAGGCCTCTCGGAGATGGGCTGCAGGTGATGATGTGAAGAAAGGAGGCGTACACAGTGGTCTTGCCCGAGGCGGTGCCGCCGGCCACACCGATGATGAAGGGTGCCTGACGCTTGAACCCTCCCATACCCGAACCCCCATCCCAGGACCCGCAGCGCGCGATCATGGACATGTTTGGCAGCGAGCTCATGTTGTGGTGTGTTGCCTTCCTATTTGTAAAGCGCTCGATCAATGCAAAGCCAGATCATCTGGCCCGCAGAAGCATGCCATCACAAACCAGCAAAGAGAAGGGAGTTCGCAAGGAAGTGTGTTGTCGAGATACCAATGTGCCAAGTCTACTTGCTGGAAGCTTTGTGGTGGGGTCTTCAACTTCTCACCCCCGCGAAAGATGGTTGTGTTTTTTTGAATCCATTTCATTTTCTTCTATAATTTCTCTTGAGTTTCTCTTGAACATTTTTGGTTTTTCTGCCCATTTTTTCGTTACCCTTCCCTTTAGCTCCGGTCCTCCGCCGGCGCACCTGCCGTTGCGTTTCTGTCTTGAGGTCAAGAGATTAGTCTCTTCGAGGTGCATGCTGAAGTGGGCACCATGTGCTTCTTTTGTGCCAAGCGAAGCCTGCTCTCTGCAGCTGCCGCCCCTTCATCATCATCATTCACGACCAACCATGCGGGGATGAAGAACAGCAAGGGTCTTGTAGGGGCGGGCTCGCTCCAATTGACGGCACCGCCGACCTTCAAAATCACCGAAATCGACGAGCACCTCAAGTGGAACCCCTACATCTGGAGCGGCTACCGCGAAAACTACACATTCGGCCAATGCCTCTACAGCTTCTTCACCATCCACAACGAATCAGGTGTGCACCATCATCATCACCTTGCCATCCACCACATCTCCCTGGCTGCTGCTGCTGACACATGCCACGTGCGTTGCCGTGTGTTGTGTGTTGCGTTGCGTTGTGTTGTGTTTCACAGTGAACGTGTGGAGCCATTTTGCGGCGGTGCTGGTGTTTGCGTGGGCCATGCACCACACCCTGTTCGACGTGCTCCTCCCCTCCACCTCCCTCCTCCACCTGGTGATCTGGGCCACGTTCTTCCTGACCGCCATCGCCTGCTTCGCCGGTTCGGCCGTCTACCACCTCTTCTTCCCCCAATCCGTCGCCGCCGTCTACTGGCTCGGCATTCTCGACTTCACCGGTTCGCCCCGCCACCCACCGCCTGCTCCGCCCTCCACTCTTCTCTCATCGCACACGCACACGCACCACCGCACACGCGCACGCACACGCACACGCACCACCGCACACGCACCACCGCACACGCACACGCTGCACATGCAGGGATTGCTGCGTTGGTGCTGGGGAGCTACTTCCCGCCGGTGTTCTACGGTTTCCACTGCTTCCCGTTCTGGCAGCGTTTGTACATCACCTCCATCTCCCTCCTCGGCACCGTCACGCTGGTCGCGCCGTGGTTCCGCTTCTTCCACTCACAACGGTACCATCGCACAGCACCACACACACACACACAACAACAACACCGCAGCACTCACCGCACGCATCACCGCACGCGTGTGCGCCGCGCACTAATCTTCGTTTGTGTCTCGAACCAGGTACCTGGCCATCCGGGTGAGTCTCTACGCCATGGTGGCCGTCGCGGGCATCGTGCCAGCAGTCCACTCCTACTTTCTCCTCCAAACTATTCCCCACAGTGCGCTCCCCCCTCTTCTCCCCACCAATGCGCTTCTGGTCGCGCGTGGACTGTGTGCCGTGCGTGTCGTGCGTGTGCGTTCTTTTGCCTGATTAGCGTGCTCGAGCAGACTACACGGACGGGTCGTTCGATGAGGTGTACCACCGACTGTACATCATGTACGGTCTCTACACCATCGGTACCGCTCACTCGCGCCCCCGTCATCGTCGTTGTGCGCGCATCTATTCATTAAATCAACTCATTTACCTGCGCAGGCGTGCTGTTCTACATGTCCAAGTTCCCCGAGTCTCGATTCCCAGGCCAGTTTGACATCTGGGTACCACCCCTGCGCAATCGTCGCTTTACGCTCTCGTGTTTGTTTGTTGTGGTTGCTGGCTTACGTTGTTGGTGTTGTTGTTTTGTCGATTACGCCGTACCACGTACAGTTCAACAGCCACCAGTGGTGGCATCTGCTGGTCGTGTGCGGGACGCTGGTGCATTGGAGCAACTGCCTGCTCATCTACGACAACTACCTCAAGCTTCTCTCCTTCTGCCCGGCAGACAGCGCCGCACCGCTGCCGTGGTAGAGCACAATCAGCGTGATACACAACAAAGAGAGGAAGTGATTCCTTTGTTTTTTTTTTTGCTTTGCGTCCACAACAAAGGCCAACTTCTGAAGGTGGGCTACGACGTCGTTCATTCGCGCGCTTCCCTGCCGCCGGTCCTCTTGTTGACGATCTTGTTGAGACGTTGGCGCGTGGTGCCCTTCTTCTTGGTCTCGCGCTTTGTCGGCTTGTCGTCCAGCTCTGCAAAATAATACATAAATAAATATAAATAATGGGTTAGGCGCTGATTATGGTCCCTTTGGCTCGGAGGGGAGGGCACGCACCAGAGTACTCGGAGCGGCCTTCGGGATTCTTTTCCATCTCCTGTCGGATGGCGGCCAACAAGTTCTGGTCAACGTTGCCATGCGATGCACACATCATGATGAACGTGAGCGCTCGGAAAAATTGATCATATCATCGCGTCATCAAGTATTGGGAGAGGGAGGGGGCGAGTCGTACGTCCTGCTTGCTGTCGCGCGTGAACTCCTCCGTCTCGGCGTGCATGAAGTGCTTGTAGTCATACTCGTGGTAGAGATAGCCGTGCTCCTCCATAAACTCACGTCGCCTGCACCACACGGCCAAATGAATTGATCAATTGATTAGTGGTGCTCCCCCCCCCTAGTGCGAGACGACATGAGGGAGTGGCGCAGTACCGATCGGAGTAGCCCACCTCGTCGGTGCCCTCGGACACGATGGTGTAGAAGTAGGCCGACACGTCGGCTCCGGGCTTCTTACGCTGCACTCGGCCCAACCTCTGCGCCTCTGTGTGTGTGTGTGTGTGTGTGTGTGTGTGTGTGTGTGTGTGTGTGTGTGTGTGTGTGTGCGTGAAGCGCGTGTGCGTGTGTAAAGTGTGTGCGTGCGTGTGTGGTGAGTTCGCCTCTCGTGCCCGAGTTTGGGGGGGGGATGTTTGCTGGCTGCAACCAACCAACGAACCTTGCATACGAGACCCGTCGACCACGCCCACCTGGATCACCACGTTGGCTTCCGGCAAATCGATCGAGTGATCGCCGACCTTTGAGATCAGCACGTACGCGCTGCTCTTCGTCGTCCTGTTATCGGGTGGTGGCGGTAGGGGGTGGGTGGTTCAGGCGTCAGGCAAGACCTGACATCCATGCGCACACAAGGAAACCGAACGGGCTCGAACTAGGAGAGAGAGAGAGAGAGAGAGAGAGAGCAATGATTGAGCTCACGTACCGGAACATGTTGAGCGACTTCTCTCGGTCCTCGTTCTTGGTCTCACCGTCGATGTAGGGGCTGCCCAAGACCTGGCTGAACCTGTTTTGTGCCGTGCACCACGGGCGGATTGATTTTTTGCTTGTAGCGAGTCGATGGTGGTGGTGATGAACGTACCACTGAAGCCCGAACAGATCGTCGCAAAATACGAGACACTTGTGTCCGCGCCTCAGGTGTCGCTTCAGCAGCGTGAACACGATACGCGCCTTGTTCGGGTTGGTGATGTGCAGCAGTCGCTTTTCCTGTGAAAGTGGAAGTGCGAAAGGCGCCGACAGTCAGCACCAAAGTGTTGAGCAACGAGGCAGTTTGTGTCGTGGTGGGTGGGGTGAGGTGGGTGGGGTACGGCAGGCGATCGCGCGGTCCGGTAGGCAGCGCCGAAGGCAGAGGTCAGCGGACACACGATACGATAGCAGTGCACATTGGCCACGTGGTTGTGAATCTTGAGCGACAGCAGATCCACTTCGTCGAGCCGCGGCCCCACCAGCGTGGGAAGCTCGGCGATCAGCTCATCCTGTGCCGGAGAGGTGCGATCACTAAGCGTCAGCGAAGCACAAGGGGCGGAGGGCGGAGGGCGGAGGGCGGAGGGCGGAGGG